CCCCCAAGCTGGTAGGTAGGTCCCGAGAAATGAATAACGTGTTCCCAGTTATTTACGGGAGCGGCTGAAAAAGCAAGTTGCAAGACCAGAGGCCAAAGGGAAGGCGAGAAAAAACTCGCCGAAACGGGCCGTTAAGGATGTCGGGTTTGCCCTTGTTGACGTCGGTGGTGGTAGGCTTGCCAAGATCTGCAACCGTTTTGTGACAGCTGGTTTGCCAACGAATGTGCGTGTCTCTAATTGTTAGCCGCGGTTGTTCTCGTAGTACTGTAACGCAAACGCTTCATAGCACTTATCGGTAACGGGCATCCGAGTATCCTGAGGCAAATTCAAGTCTCGTCTGATGCGTTGGTCGCTCCAGATGCAACGTTATTACGTCGTCGGTTTTTAATTCTCCGCACCCGTAGCTTGGGACAGGGTTCCTTTGTTTTTTTTTGTCAACCGCCCTGCCGCGTATACTTTGTCTCGCAACGATTACGTTTGCAGGCAGGGAAAACTGTGGCACGAAAAGCAAGAGTTTTACGTCTACTCGTAGGTCACATGGAACTGTAGTCCTGCTTGGCAAAGGAAGGTGAAACTGATCTTGCTGTCAAACCGCGTAATCTGAGCCATGGAACAAGGCTGGTAGTATACAGACTAGCCTTGTGCCAATCACATGCTTTACCAGAACCAAGCCGTTGTGGTGGCGAAACAGTAGTATAGTCTTTGCTTTATGCTGGTATCATAGTTACCAAGGTTTTAGACTTTGAAAAACAAATACCGGGTATGCAAGGGCATGGCTGAAGGAGGTGCAGATGTTACAAGAGATGCCAAGATAAAATGGACAGCATAATCGGCTTAGCATTAGGTATTGGTAGCCAATCGAAAAATGGAGAGATGCATGCATGTATTCCAGTATTCGTGATGATATGATTGGTATAACTAATCTAGTTTAATGTCAAGTGTAGTAATGTCTTTGTGTGAGAGACTTGTGTCCCATTGAAGAATCAAATAGCGTATCGATATTGAGTAATGAGTACAACAAATCTATGGTAAATATCATGGCAGAACAGTGGTACATGGGCTCGTGGATCGACCAGTCCATTCGAGTGTGCCTCGAGTGAAAAACAACGAAATGGATATACGCCTGCGTCGTTGTTGATTTCGATATTCACAACTTGTTCATTTTCATCGAGCACAAGTCAAATAGTCAGTCATAACAAAAGACAACCCTCCTATGTCGTCAGCGGATAAAATACCACATACGTCCAAGGCACAAAAATCCACCACAGTTCGCAACGCAGTAGTAAGCATAAACCCGTCCATCCTCCACAAGGCTGATACCCTGGACACAATAATACACCAATTATGCAAGGCCCACCTACCACAAAAGCATGCGGATCATTAGGTACATCGACCATACCTCTGTGGATCCCACGATCAGCATTTACCCTCGCAACGAACGGAAGGAAAGGGCGGCTCTAAAGGAATCATGCCATGTCACTCCTTCTCAGCAGCCACTCTAACCGGGCTTCTAGAATCTCAATTTACCGCGTAAACACGTGGAAATGCCGGTCATCCTTCGCAAATTAGCCGTGTTCTCGAAGGGACCAAAGGATGATCGCTACATCGTTCTGTCGTCGGTCTTCGCATATTACTCGGATACGAACGGAAGACTCGGCAAGCCACCAAGAGAAAATAAAAAGCCATTCTAGATTTCGTAGCTCGGGTTTATCCACATATAGTTTCGCGTTCGGGTCGGAGCATCGGGTTTTGGGCGATGCTAACGTCCCTTTTCTTTATTTCCGCGTCGCAGTATTGTCGGTGTTGGAGGCGCCCCGATTACTATTGATTGAATGCCGATGGGTGGGTGGTAGGCGTGATGGTAATTGCGTTGGCTTCCGGTTCGCTACCCAACAAATAAATCTAGTTCTGAGAGGAGAGTACTAGAGAGGAATGATGCCCAATGTGGCTAAATGCCTCATTTTTTCATGTTGGTCTGTCGTCATGTGCTTTTTTTGGGATTTTACCCATAGGTATTTTGCGGGAATTTTAGGCCAACCGAAAGCTTTGCAGAGAACCACCGAGCTCGTGTGAGCGTTTTCTTGTTCCGACCGCGGTGAGCAAGATCCGAAAGTGTTTATGCTTTCCTGGTATTGATCAGCTTCGGAGTTGCTTGAATCTGGAATACTGGGGCGTTCTCGCTTTGGCTGGTGAGGGATGTGTCCCACTGATTGTAGCGAGATCTGTCGGCATGGACTTTGCTGCATAACTGCGGTATTAACCATGAATAATGCTACGTATCAGCGGCTACGTTGGTTATGCGAGATTTAATGTAGTTTGTGAATCGCCTAAAGGTAATCCATCCAACGTCCGGTGAGTGAAATATCATAGTATCGGAAAAGTCCTCGAACTCTGGCTTCGCACCCATGATATGTCGGATAAGAAAAGCCTGGAAAAACCATTGGAAGGAGAAAAACCGAACCGAAAAGGTATCAAAGATGCAACATGCTTCTGCATTTGACAGCAGAGCAAAACATGTCCAAGTAGAAGTAACCTATCAAGTGAGCATGCGCGCATATCAACCTGCCTTTTCCTCAGCCTCAAGACTCCCCTTCATACCCAGTCCAAACGCACACTTCGCATCTCTCCCAAAAGCACCGCACATCTTCCCAGAATAAAATCTCATAACCCCTCGTGCGCGTACTCGGTCCAGCAGCCATAGAACACTCTCATCTCGTCCACTTCTGCGGACCAAACCACCATGCCCACTCAACAAACGCAATCATCATACCCCTACCGCAAAAAAGAACCCCAGAACTCACTCAAGAAAGCCACAAAAGTGAAAACTGCAAATGGGCAAAAGAGAGGTCCAGAAAATAGGCCTCAGGCAACAAATCAAGGTTTTGCGGTGGCTGTTCTACAGCCAAAGAAGCTATACAAGCGAGACGCCAGTCCACCAACGGGTTAAACTCCCCATCTCTCTCTCTTTTTTTTTCTTTTTACCCCTCAGGCTAGTGTCATGCAACATGTAACATAAATGGGTGGATAAGTGAACGAGTGTTCGGTATGACGTAGAGAGTGGGATTTCTTGGGTGGTGAGGAGGGGCTTAATCGTTTGTTACGAGAAAACGGGCCATGGTAAAAAAAAAAAAGTCCAGCAGTGCAAGTTTCCAAGTCTTCATTGCCATCCGATGTGTTTATCCATCCTGGTAGTCAATTGGTTTTTAGCTTGGTAGTAAGTGGTTCTTCGGTCTTTCGGAAGCAAGATGACAGGCACTACTTTATACTAGAATAGGCGGGTTAGTAGTAGCCTCTGTCGTGGGTGAGTCAAAAAAATCCTAACCTTGTTCAAACACAGCCACTGCACCAGATCCACTTTCTGCGCTTCTTCCTCGGAACTCCCCGCGTCTCTCCCCCACATATGCAGTGGCTTGCTGTTTCTGGTTACGTCCCGAAGGTGGGCTTCCCGAAGCCACTGATGCTTGATCGGTGGTACCTTACATTAGTTCGATGCTTAGGGCTTGTACGGGATGGCTTGTGGAGGGCCGAGATATTCACCGTAGACAACTTTTCATTTTCTTGTAGCCTGCTGTGATTATGAATAGGATATGACTATATTTAAACATCGGTAGGAGTAGACCGAAAGAAATAACCATGGACTCCTCACGCCCCACACTCGCACTGAATTCAAACTAATCCCGACGGCGTATTTTGCTTGAGCAGATACCCCTCTTTTATACATACCACAAAAGCCCCTCCGAGATGTAACCAGTCTTAATATCTACAACAGACTACTCGGTTAGTGCTATATCCTGAATGCTATCAGCACTCCAAAATATCAAGGGGCACCCCGCAATCGGTAGAGATGATAGCTGGCAAGTAATCGCTGGAATAGGATTGATTGAAGACGGTGGATTATCTGCGCCGAAAAGAAATACTAATTTATTTTTGTAATCTATCCACGTACTGCTACACCACAGTGTATATACGACCACCCCTCCCCAACCACCTTCGGTAACATTCCATCTGTCACTGACCTACCTTTTACTGATCTTAGCCTATATACACACTGTATATCTATCCGATCTACTCCCTCTTAAATGGAGCAGTGGTCCAATATAAGGGTTACCCAGACTACCCTTACCGGGAACTGTTTTCCCCACAAGCATCTTTGATATCATCACGTACTCAAAAACCTTGGGCGACACTCCAGCGATAACTCATAGCCGCATCTTCCAAGAGCCCATCTGATTTTATATGCCAACAGCGCCACACACACACAAATTGATCCATACAGTCTTCAAGTCTTGAAGTAAACAAAGATAGTATACTTTCCTCATCCAGCATACTCCGTCCTCGTATGCGACATCCCAGAAAGACTTGCTACTAAAATACGCCTAAGCTACCTCCATTTTCACAGTGCATAGCACTGGCGATCTAAGATGCAAGATCTTTTTTTTTTGCTTTGCTCATTCCCAGTCCGGCAGTGTGCCTCCTGAACCGCCACAAATCCGCGCTGAATCAGTGGATTCGGAAATAGTCTGAACATTGAAGTTTGCTTCTGTCTTGGCGACTATACCGCTATTGATCACTGATCCGGCAACGTTTCCATCTGCCTATAGACAGTTGCTAAGAGGATATCGGGTACGAAAGCGTGGACGTCCTGGTGCTGGTTGGCCATTACGTTCAGCTTTGTGATATTTGTTTTGACGGGGACAACAGGATACGGATGAACATCGGGAGGGATTGGATCAGTAGTTTCTGCTTGAATGGCAATCTCTGTGGGGTTAAGATGGAGAAAATAGTGCGCCAAGTGGTGAAATAGTTGAGTTGGATGTTAAGATTGTTGATTTGTGTGTTGATGAAGCAGGTGAAGAGGGTTGACAGGACATGTATGCAGATTAGAGTTGAATGTAGAGATTGATTTTTAATCCCTAGCTCATAAGGTGTTGGTTAGGAAACTCTCATGGTGATGGTGAAAACGCGTTGAGAGGACGATCATATAAGACGATAAGACTCGTCTTCATCATTACAACGTAGCCGCTTCGCCGATTGAGAATAACCGAATTCCGTTTTCTCATTTTCCAACCATATCTGTATACTAAAGTAATGAATACTTCAAAGTGACGACTGTCAAAAGTGCGAGGTAGCCAGCCAAGGTAGTATCGTACAGGACCACTTTGCCTCTCTATAATGATATTGGCTCCTACAATTGCATATGAAGGAGCTGTGAATTCCTCCTTTTATATTCCTAGAAACACTATGCATCTCCATTGTCATGTTTAGGTCTCGCACCACCTCTGACCTTGGCTGGAAGCAACGGCAACAATGCGTACAACCCAAATACTAAAGCAACCTGGGTAAGCCAAAATAGCTGGCCCCATAGGATGTTGTACTTGACACTGAGAGCGTATATACTAGTCGCCACGGCAGGAGCAACGGATCGAAGACCACACTGAAACGCAATTGCAATCGCGTTCAGTGTCCCAAGGGTCTCAGGCGAGGGTGAAATGTCGTTGAGTGCAAGCTGTACAGAGGCTAGTATGCGCATTAGTGACGAAGATCAGGTAAGTAGCATACGGGGTACTCACTGAATGCCATTGAAACTCCACAGAAAAATGCCAGCATCGGCGGTCCGGTAGCCCAGAAAAGGATAGTCTTGCCATATCGCAGAAAGACGTTGTAAATCGGAATAGAGACGAAAAGGATAGGCCAAGCTAGCGCGCATAGCCAGAGCAAACGACCAGTGCCGAAACGCTTGTGCAGTATCGGGAAGACTAGTAGTAGCCAAATAGCTTGAGACACCCCATTGAGTCCCGTGAATATGGCGATTAGACCTGATGAGAAGCCGAGGCCGCCCATATCCACAGGTGTATATTGGGCTAGTGGAAACACGGCGGTAAAAGTGTACGCCAGAAGCATCACATAATTGTAAATAAGAAGAACACGAGCGACACCGGGGTACTTGAGTAGTTCCCAAGTCGACATGCTGGGCTTCGAGTTCTTCGCATCACCATGAGTATGCAGCGTTTCCTTTACAAACAGCAGGGTGGAAATGGCGGCAGAAAAGCCAACTGCCGCAATGACAATGTTTGGCAACGCGTAAGGATAGTCGTGCCAGAACTGCACCTTGCCAAAAGTTGAGGGAAACTTGTCAGCTGGTCGCTCGAGTCCGCCACCTGTAGTCGTCTACTTAGCACATGATGAGCGTTTGCTGATCTCTGTGTCACTTACCAATCAGCGGGCCTATAAAGATGCCCATATTGTTGGAGAATGCAAAGAAGCTAAAGGCGCGAGCTTGTGTGTGTTTGGTGCTGTTCTCAGAGAGCATGGCACGGACAGTGACAACAGTACCAGCAAAGACGCCAGAGAAGCATCTGAACAACGCCAGCTGCCATATAGATTGACTTAGACCAAATAGTAACGTAGCAATGGTCATTCCAAACAACGATATAACCAGCACTGGCTTTCTCCCATACCGATCAGAAGCCTGGAAACTGGGTCAGCGGGATTATCCTCTTGAATTAACTAGTCACAATCACCTACCTTGCCCCATAGAATCATGACACACATCTGAGTTGCACTGAATAGACTTTCAATCAGCCCAGAATAGAAACCAACATCCTCCTTGTCGACACCGCCAACTCTCTCAATCATGAAATTGATATAAGGAATGATCGAGAAGAATGCAATAGGCCCTAAACACCCCCCGTAGCACAACAGAAGGACTTGCAATTTTGGAAGTGGGCGATGTTCATCCTGATTCCTGTTCTCAATATCTTCGTTCTCGTAGGGCTGGTCCGAAACATCTGAGCTCTCTACTATAGGCGCAGGTTCCACATATGACAAAAGGGGTGTGTTCTCGTCAGTAGTGTTAATGGACGGCGGTCTACTGCGTATGCTAGGTGGTGGTGACATGGTTCAAACGCGTGCCGAGTGCAGATAAAGCTTGGTAGACAGTCTAGTGGTTGGAAGAAGGCTGAATGATGCAGCGATGGTTCATACGATCCTATTCTAGAGCACGACAGGTTAGCACGTACGACAAGGCTTTGAGAAGAGAGCTTTGCGCAAGGCAGTAAGCTCACAGGCGGGGACCTACTGAATATGACAGGGCATACTTAAGCTCTTTGTGAAGCAACGCGTTGCTTGGTAATCGACTAATGGCTCGAAAAAGCTACATATCCCTGCTAGCGTCGCGATGAACATCAAAAGGCACCAAACCAAAACACTTCGGAATAGCTCCTGCCCATCTTGGGTAAACTATGTGCACAGAAAGACGTCAGACTTTTAATAGGCGGTCTCTACAGGCATGTCATGTCAAATGCGGCTGCTTTGGGAAATGTCATCATGCCCACAGACTCATCAGAGCACGTCACAAACATCACTTGAGCGTTACCCATCTGTAAGGGATACGAAAGTGTTCATAGGCTCTAAGCTACAACCTTAAGATCCGCACTACACTTCATGTGTGAGCCCAAGCTGCTCCATAACTCAAACACCCAATCATTGACTCGCTGTGCTATTTTGTGGACAACCGCCATGTGTGAAACCCAGGAATGACAGTGCGCCAAAACGCAGATGTCTCCGCCTGTAGGCTTGTCATGATCTCGAGAACCGTACGCAGGAACATGCTGGTAAGAAAGACGTTAATCGATGAAATTGTTCGAGGATGCGGTGATTCATACCTTAGAAGCACTTGCGGTGGACGATGGAGGGACCGCTCTCGTCGTACTCCTGCTTTGAGATCCACATCTGCTGGAAGGTGGAGAGCGAAGCAAGAATGGAACCACCGATCCAGACGGAGTACTTGCGCTCGGGAGGAGCGATGATCTTAACCTTCATCGAGGATGGGGCGAGGGCGGTGATTTCCTTCTGCATGCGGTCGGAGATACCGGGGTACATGGTGGTACCACCAGACTAGTTTCTTTGTTAGCCGCCTGTCATTGTGATTGTATGCAGTGTAACGTACCATGACAATGTTGCCGTACAGATCTTTCCTGACGTCGACATCGCACTTCATGATGGAGTTGAAAGTGGTGACGTGGATACCACCGCTTTCAAGACCCAAGACGGAAGGCTGGAAGAGAGCTTCAGGAGCACGGAAACGCTCGTTTCCAATGGTGATGACCTGACCGTCGGGAAGCTCGTACGACTTCTCCAAGCTGGACGACTGGCTGGCAGTTTGGATCTCCTGCTCGAAGTCGAGAGCGACGTAGCAGAGCTTCTCCTTGATGTCACGGACGATTTCTCGCTCGGCAGTGGTGGAGAAGGTGTAGCCGCGCTCAGCCAAGATCTTCATGAGGTAGTCGGTCAAGTCACGACCAGCCATGTCGACACGGGAGATGGCGTGGGGAAGGGCGAAACCCTCGTAGATGGGGACAACGTGAGTGACACCGTCACCGGAGTCGAGAACGATACCAGTGGTACGTCCAGAGGCGTACAGAGACAGGACGGCCTGAATAGAGACGTAGAAAGCGGGAGCATTGAAGGTCTCGAAAACAATCTGTGTCATCTTCTCACGGTTGGACTTGGGGTTGATGGGAGCCTCGGTGAGGAGGACGGGGTGCTCCTCAGGTGCGACACGCAGCTCGTTGTAGAAGGTGTGGTGCCAGATCTTCTCCATGTCATCCCAGTTGGTAACGACACCGTGCTCAATGGGGTATCGCAGAGTCAGGATACCACGCTTTGACTGTGCCTCATCACCGACATATGAGTCCTTTTGGCCCATACCAATCATGATACTGGCGTCTTTGTCAGCTTGTGTACGAGGGAGAGATGGACACGGGGAGGTTGGTCGTACCCATGGTGACGCGGTCGGCCGACAATGGAAGCTGCAAAGCTGTCAGAATCGAGTTTTCACACCATACTACACCCAGAGGCCACAGCGTGACGCTCTCGATGCAGCTGTTGAGGAACAAGCTGTGGATCGAGGTACTTACGGAAGACTGCTCGGGGCGCATCGTCACCGGCGAAACCGGCCTTGCACATACCCGAACTGTAGAATGTCAGCTCAAGTCCATCTGTGTAGCTGTAACCTCGCGCGCTGCTGTAGAGGTGGTGATGGGGGCTTTGGAGGGTGCTTGGGCGCTGGGCACAAGGGAAAGCCCCTCCACAGCAGGGATGGCAGGTGTTGGGTGTCTGGGATGCCAACTCACCCATTGTCGATGACGAGAGCTGCGACTTCCTCTGTAGGGGGAGAGGGATGTTAGCAGAGTTGATTGAGATAGATGCCACGGTCATTGGGGATGGGCATGGGGCAGGGAGGTAGGGGTTCAGGTTGCTTACCCTCCATGATGATTGACTGATTAGGGTGAGATTAGAGTAAACGTAGAGCTGTGAAAGGGTGTGGGTGTAGCGTCGCTGGAGCAATTGAGAGTTAGTAGAGGAAGCTGGGGGTGTAGCTACGGGGCCAGCAGCAGAGAGGACGCGGACAGTCGGGGGAGCTTACAAGTTCGGCGGCGGTGTTGAGGGTGAGGTTCTTGTGCGCGAGGCAAGAACTGGGTGTGCTAAATAAGCGGGTCGGCCTTGCCCAGATTTAGCGGGGTGGCAGGAGCACAGGAGCGAAGGAGAGCTTTGCACGAGCGGACTGATCCCAAAGGGGGATTGTGTATAATTCTAGTGACGGAGTGGCCAGCGTGGGCGAGCAGTACGGCGGCCAACTTATAGACAGCGCCCGTCAACTCTAGGCTGCACAATTGATGCTTTTGGAGGCGGGTAGCCGCCGTGAGCAGCACACGCAAGCCGTTCCGCCACAGCAAACGGGAGGTGTTGTCCACGCACGTCAACTGTACCAGACCGCCAGGCAGCGCTGCAAAGGGCTTGGCGCAGGGCGAGCATATCGACTCTCCACTACGCACTACGTGTTCTCGACGGCATTGTGCTGGTAATGCACGCCCGAGTTGGGCATGGCACACTCAGCAGCCCCCAGCCACCCAGCCAGCCTGCATTGCTGTAGTGTTGCCATTCTTCCGCCATCCGCCATCCGCCATCCGCGGCTTGCTCACCGCCAACTCGTCCTCTCGCCGCCCTCTCTCGCCCTGCCCCCCGCCTAGCCCCAATCCGGACGTCACGTGTAATGAGGGGTACGGTGGGTCGGCCCAGTCCGCCCACCTGCGTACCTGGCCAAACGAGCATACGCCGCCGCGCAGCCTCCTCTGTGGTCGTGCGTGCCATTGCATCACTGTAAATGCCCATTGTGACGCCAGACAGTTTTGCAAAGGCGCATCAAGGCATGGCAAGACAGAGCAAAGAGCCTTGCGACATGCGCAGCGCTGTGCAGGGGTGCTGCTCGACTGCTGCAGTCCATCGAAGGCGCCCGAAGCTGCTGGCCCCATCGCAACGCCCCCGGCGTGATCAGCGTCATATGTCCCGCCAAAATTATTTCAACACCATAGCCCACAGCCAAACCCCAGCCCTCCTCCACACAGACACTTCCCACCCAAATCCACACGCACATCCAACATCATGAACGACCCCGGACTAAACAACCTTCTCAAGTGGGGCATCCAAAACTCCGAAGCCTCGCGCACCGACGGAGCCGCTGCAGACCAGCGGCCCGGCCAGATCGATGTCGAGGCCCTACAACGTCTCGTCACTGGCATGTCAGGCCCATCAGATGCCCAGCTCATGCAAGAGAGCATGCAGGTCATCCAGAATGAGGAAGCAGAACTCGAGCACAGGACGACCGCATTCGACAACTTCGAGCAGCTCATCGAGAACCTGGACAATGCAAACAACATCGAGAGCTTGGGCCTGTGGATGCCACTCGTCGAACAACTAGAGAATAAAGAATCCGAACTGAGATTCTACGCTGCGTGGTGCTGCGGCACTGCTGTACAAAACAATATCAGGACGCAAGAGCGAGTAAGTGGACCTTGACGCATAACCCAATTTACACAATACTAATATGCTGTAGCTTCTTGTTGTCGGCGCTATTCCCACATTGGTTCGGATGGCCACTTCAGATGCCGACAAGAAAGTCCGCAAAAAGGCCATTTTTGCCCTGTCCTCGTCGGTCCGAAATTTCCAAGCGGGACTCGATGCCGCTCTGGAGCATGTGCCCGCCGAACTCAAACCTAAAGAAAAGCTAGATGCCAACGACATGGAATCGGTAGACTTGCTGATCAACAAGCTGCGCGACAATGTATAGTGTCTAAGTCGCGCATGCTTTGCATTGGGCGGCGTTGCGGAACTACAATTGGATTAGCATGGGAATGGCGCACATGTGGGACGACAGTTATGAGGCAGGAATATAAAGGATCATTACCAAGGACATACCCGGGTTTTGGCAGAGAAGCGATTTGCTTCGGGGATATCATAGAAATCATATCGAGCATTGTCAGGACTACTGGTCCAGACCAGAGCGGCTCAAAATATACGACACCTCATATTATTCCCAAGACCAGTCCAACCAGCTCACTGAACGCTCCTCTCCCAACCATACTCTTATCTAAACCCATGCCCAATACAACCATCCTTGACTCTCGTTCGTCGCGTTGCTTGATTGCGCTAGCAACTTGGGTTGCAAGCGTTTGCCCAAGTGTGTCAAGTTCTGGTATAGTACCGCCCAGTATAGTTGTAGCCGTTAGTTGGTGCATAGGCAAGAGGTCCGAATTTGGATCCTCCTCGTCGCGCTCGAAGTAGGAATCGGACGTGATCGAGGCATCCGTTGCAGTGATATCAAGCGGAACGTGTACCTGCATTGTTGTAGTTAGCGACTCTTGCTCTAGTATAGCATACCGTTTCTTTTTATACCCAATGTGCTAGTCGGCCTTGCTGCGTAACCGTGATGAGTATCTTGTCGGCAAAGCTGACGGCCGTTGCCGTCGTTTCTAACCCATTTATGGTCACAGTCGCTGTCTTGGTGTGTGCAGGATAAGCCGCTGGTGTCACGACGTAGTCGTCTGAATTGACTGCTGCTGGCATATCGCTATGATGTGTGTCGCGCTGAAGTGGGGTGATGGCGAGAAGAAGAGTCGGCCCACCTGAATGCGTCGTCTGTTACTGGCCGCGGGAGTGATGCGGAGAGTCGACGCTAGCGTCTGATCCCCGCCAAAATTATTTCGGGCGCATGCGAGCAGACTTCGCCGCCATCACCCGCCCAGCATGCCCAAGTTTGTGCCCCGGCAGCGAAAGCACAAGGTCATTGCCCGTCGCAAAAATGCTGCCGACCCAAGCAATGGCGTCAACGATGCGAATACGGCTGAGATATTGCCTGTTGAGCAGCAGGAACGTAATGCGAAGAAGGCAGCGCTGAAGGAAGAGCTTACGCGCGAAGCGCAAGGCAAAATGTCTAACAAAAAGAAAAAGCGCCTCGACAAATATATTGTATGTCACTTTGCGCCCCAGTTGCTTAGCATATACAAGCACGACTAACCCATCCAGGATACAAAACTCAAGAAAGAAGAAAGCCTCGAGCTGCTGAAAAAGCTTGCCGCCCAGAAAGTCGATACTACCTTATTCCAAAGTTCAAAGAAGCTTGGTCGAGGAGCGGATACAAAGAGAGAAGCTTTGAGGCGCGCGCTGGCCGAAAGTCGGGCTGGGATAAATGTGGACAAAAACCAGGAATTGCTACTGGAGGAGCGCGAAATCAGAGACATTGAGGATGACAGCTCAGACGAGGAAGAGCAGGTATCAGCATCTGTCTCGCACTCCGTACCCAAATCTACTGCGCGGCAGGCCGCAGCAAAACCAGCACATGAGAACGAGGTATCACGAGAACGCGCGCAGTCACCGTCGCCATCTGAGCCGGAAACCGACACCCGCAAACCCACGCCTGAGATTCCTGTGGTACCGCAACAGACAAACGGTCTATTCGGAAGTGGATTGAAGAGGCCTCTGGAAGTAGATGATTCAGGAAAGCCAGTAATACAAGTTCGAAAGCGTCGCAAGGGCCAGACTACAAAGCCAGTTGCAGTTGAAGAAGAAGTGGAATGGGAGGGTTTTAGTTCGGCCGAGGACAACGACAACCAAATGGAGGAAGACGACTCGGCGACCTCCAGCGCGGAGTCTGAAGATGAAGGCTTTGATTCCGAGGAAGGCGACTCTTCGGGATCAGAGCAAAGCGGATCAGAAGAGGATTCCGAAGACGAGAGCGATGAAAGCGACACCAGTCTGGATGAAGACAAGAAGCTTGCAAAGAAGGAAAGAACATCAGCTTTCAAGGCCTGGGCAACCCAGCAAAGAAACGAACAAGTAGGCTTCACTCCGACTAACCAACTATCTTTCGCGCCCACTCCAGCGAACTTCAAACCTCGAGCCCCTGAGCAAGATCCTCTGCCTCCCGAACTCGAAACGAAAACAAAGACTGATGCTACTCGCAAAGCATTCAGCGTGAACGTCGATCGATCGCCCGAAATACAAGAGTCAAGACTGCAGCTACCGATTGTGGCCGAAGAACAAAAGATCATGGAGGCGATACACAACAACGACGCAGTGGTAGTTTGGGGTTCCACTGGTAGCGGTAAAACTACTCAAGTGCCACAATTTCTGCTTGAGTCAGGCTACGGAGCAGCCGATGGGCCAACACCAGGCATGATCGGGGTCACTCAACCACGCCGTGTAGCCGCTGTCAGTATGGCAAAACGTGTTGGCGATGAGCTTGGGGATCAAGGTTCTAAAGTGGCATATCAGATTCGCTTTGATACAACCACAAGCGCCAAAACTGCTATCAAGTTCATGACTGATGGTGTCTTGCTAAGAGAGATAACTCAGGACTTCGTCTTGACAAAGTACTCCGCTATCGTCATTGATGAGGCCCACGAGCGTAGCGTCAACACCGACATTCTCATCGGAATGCTCAGCAGAATAGTTGATCTCCGAGCTCAGATGGTGAAAGATGACCCCAAAAACAAGCCCCTGAAACTGATCATTATGTCGGCTACTCTGCGCATATCAGATTTCACAGAAAACAAGCGCTTGTTTAGAAGCGAGCCTCCACCGCTCATCAAGGCCGAAGGTCGCCAATATACCGTCGTGAACCACTTCGCGCGTCGCACTCAACGAGACTACGTCGAGGAAATGTACCGAAAAGTGTGTAGGGGGCACCGAAAGCTGCCCAAGGGCGGTATGCTCGTCTTTCTTACCGGTCAAAACGAGATTTCGCAGTTAGCGAAGCAATTGAAGCAAGCCTTCCCATCTACTCAAGGCAAAGAGATCAAAGCTGGCAAGGTTGTTGTTTCTCCAGCAGAAACACCGCTGGAAGTCGAGGACATTGAATTGGGCGCACCGACCAAGTTCACAGACTACGAAGACGATGACGGTTCAGACTCTGAAGGTTCAATAATAATGGGGCTTGACGACGAGGATGACAAAGAATTCGAGATTGAAGATGAGAAGCCCGAAGAAACCGTCATGAATGTGCACGTTCTACCGCTTTATTCACAGTTGCCTACTAACCAGCAGCTGCGTGTCTTCGAATCACCTCCAGATGGCTCTCGTCTCATCGTTCTCGCCACAAACGTTGCCGAGACCAGTTTGACAATACCCGGTATCCGCTATGTCTTCGACTGTGGAAGAGCAAAAGAAAAGAAGTATGATCCCGTTACAGGCGTGCAGAGCTTCGAGGTTGGTTGGATCAGTAAAGCTAGTGCAAACCAGCGTTCTGGTCGTGCGGGTCGTACTGGACCTGGTCACTGTTACCGCTTGTACTCCTCCGCGGTATTCGAGCGTGATTTTGAAGAGTATGCTGTGCCGGAAATATCAAGAACACCGCTAGAGGGTGTGGTGCTACAGCTGAAAAGCATGGGTGCTCCTGTCGTCAACTTCCCGTTCCCAACACCACCGGATCGTGGAAGCCTACAAAAGGCAGAGAACCTACTTTCATACCTGGGCGCACTTTCTATCGACGGAAAAGTCACCAAGCTTGGCCATGAGCTTTCTTTGTATCCCCTCAACCCACGGTTCGCGCGTATGGTTGCGATGGGTGTTGCGCAGAACCTTGTAGCCGAGACTATCGCATTGGTGGCCGCCTTGTCAGTACCAGAACTCATTATACCAGAGAACAAACTCGGACTGCGGGAACCAACCAAGGATCCTGATACCACTCGCACTGAGCAAGACAACATTGAAGCCGAAGAACGCTCACAACTACGGAAAGCCTACAACGCGGCACAAGCGAAGATGAGCATCAACGCGAAGCAAAGCGACTGCATCAAGCTCAGCAACGCAATCTGTGCCTACGCATATGAGCCCAACTCGCAAAGATTCTGCGAAGATATGTTCCTCAACGCAAAAGCCATGAACGAAGCCAGTCAACTCCGGCACCAACTCACCAACATCGTCCGCGCCCACCGACCCACAGCAATCGGCGGCTACGAAGCCAAACTCCCAGCCCCATCCGAACGCAACATCAACATCCTTACCCAAATCTGCGCAGCCGGCTTCATTGACCAAATCGCCATGCGTGCCGACCTCGCCCCCGTCCCCCCCGATCTACCCAGGAAACCAAAGACCGCCATCGATGTCCCCTACGTAACCCTCTTCTCCTCGCAAACCGAGCGCTCCGACAATGACGATCCCCAGTCCAAATATGTCTTCCTGCACCCCTCCTCCATCCTTGCGCGCACACCGCCAGCCAAAATGCCGGGCTACATCATCTACTCGCACCTTCAGCGCGCGGCGACATCCACTGTCCACGGCAGCAAAACACCAAAGACGCGAATGCATCCCCTGACGCCCGTGACGAGGCCGCAGATTATTAATATTGCGCTCAACACGCCTTTGTTGCAGGCGAGTAAGCCCAAGGGGAAGATTGTAGAGCTGTCAAAGGAGAGGCGCGAGTGCGAGGTTGAGATGAGTCTTGTGGGGGAGAAGGGAACGCAGGGGTGGGGTTTGGGGATTAGGAAGGTTGTTCAGAAGAAGGAGGGGAATGGGCGGTATGTTATTGAGCGGATAGTTGGGTGAGCGATGTTAAGTGGGATATGTTGTGATAAGTATGTGATTTAGATTAGTCCGGTTGGACTACGCGTGCGGATCAGGTCTTAAGAGTTTTTGATTGTTCTGTTTGTGGATACAGCGATGGTACACGGTGTTGTGCCTTACTATATGATGAACAAGGATAGTTAACTATGCTTCAGATGTTTTTCCTCTTACTTCCACCCAACAGCCCATCTAATCCCTCGACACAGCCGTCTCAACAGCAACCTTCTCACTCTGCAAAACACTAATCTCCTTCTCCACCTCTCCACTACTCCTCACCTTCCCATCCTCCTCCTCCTCCCTCGCAATTCCTACGCACTTATACTTCGAAAACTGCCTTGCACTCAGCCTAGCCTCGAACATCTCGTCAATCTCCTCCAGCGTCCGATTCTTGACTTCGGGCAGGAAGAAAAACACCCACGTTGCCGCGATCGCGCACGACGGCGCCCAGATGAATCCGTACCTGGGGCCCCAATTCATGGCTGCGGGATTGATAAAGTACGGGGCTGTGAATGTAGTGAGCCATGCGCCGACGAACCCGGCACTGGCAGCTAGACCGAACGTGTGGGAGCGAAGGCGCTGGGTAGGCAGTTCACCGCCTGATAGCCATGCGTATGTCGATATCATGCCGTTGTAGCTGAACATATATATAGCGGTTAGTCCAACGGTGACTTTGCCCGTAGCCTTGGCGTTAGGTGCCTTGTGGTATACGACTGCGATGATGAGTTGCAGCATGCCGCATATGAGGAGGCCCGCCATGAGGAGTACTCTGCGATTGCCGTAGCGCACGACGATGAGTGAGTTTGCAATGAAGGCGATTATGCTGATGGCGGAGAGGACGTTTGACATTGCGAAGGGATCGGTGACCTTTGCCATTTGGAGGAAGTATGCTTTGTATGCTGAGTGATTGTTAGTATGGGGATTTCATACATGGCTGAGGCCTCTTGTTTATGGATGCTTACCGATAATGAACATTGAACCTGAGGCTGCTTGGAGGAGAACGGCAAAGACTGCGAGAAAGGTACGGCGTCGGTCGACGGGGTTGCTGAACATATCGACCCATCCTATGCCGGAGCTTGTCTCTTTTTCCTTTTCGATTGCTGCAAGAATGGCGGAGGCCTCTGCACGGGAATCGTGGCGCTTTGGACGGAGCCACTCGAGCGCCTTGACGCCTTCCTCAAAGTGTCCTTGTAGGATGAGCCATCTGGGACTCTCTGGGATGAACCATACAGTACAGAGGATGATAAGCGGAAAGATGTATATAAGCCCAAGGGGAATAAGGTAAGCGGATTTATCTGGGCGTTTGGCTGTACCCCAGTCGACAATAGTTCCAATCAGTGTTCCAAATGAAACAAAGAAGTTAAAGCCAGTAAGGAACACGCCGCGCAGTTCAGCTGTGCTACTCTCCTGCAGATACAGTTGCGAAAAAGTCATAAAGTAGCCATTTGCCAAGCCAATGATCAGACGTCCAGCGTAGAGCGCCCCAATGTTTTCAGTGGCCATCATCAAGACGTTGGCGATGCAACAAGTGACGCATGCTAGAGCGAGGCACACACGGCGACCGAAGCGAGTAGAAGGGACGCCAGCAGTAGCGGAGCTGATAAAAGCTCCAAGCGTCATGAGTGAGGAGATGAGCTGCTGCCTCTCTGTCTTGATGTTCCATCCTGTGGGTGTCTTGTTTGTACGATAACCAAATACCTAGACGAACGGTCAAGGACGAATTCTCTAGCAGACACTCTCTAGCAATCATGTACCTCTAGAAACCCAACCATTGCTTGCAACCCTCCAATCATGCCAAAGTCGAATCCGTACTGAAATGGGCTCAAGATAACAACGCCACAGGCGATGAACAGGCGTGTATGGTCGCGCCATGTGTATCCATGATTGTCAGACATGGTAACGGATGTAATGAAGTGATATGAGACCGAGCCAGCAGATTCATCAGTGCATAATTGAGGAAAGACATGGCTGCCTTATACGTTGAAGATCATTTGCCCAGACTGGGATGAATGCACAGCGATTTACCCATCTGCCGGCATTGTATTGCCAAGGCATGCTCCGCAGGACACCTGAGTTACACAACCCCACAAGACGAATACTCTCCGCTCGAGTACAGCCAATGGAGGGGAGCACTAGGCGATGCATATCATCTGGACGTAGAGAGGAGGGGATGTTAGAGGATGGCTGCTGTATGGATAGATTATGCGTAGTTGATTGGTTTCTGTATTGTGCGTTTGACTGAGAGCTATATTGACCTTTTTATCTCAGTTGCCGAGTGAGTTAGCTGTCCAACGTGGCCATGTACGCTTTACATGCCAACAAAACAGAGGTTTTCCCATTTCGATGCCCGAGTCTGGAAGTGTTCAACCGGATGAAGCAGCCAAGAAACGTGGCTGCTCGTGGCGACGAAACTCGGTATCAACATTCCGTTCGGCAGGGGAATCGAGTCAAGATAAGCTCGCAAAGTATGGGGTACGGCAATAGTGGCGTTGGGGGTTGTGGGTCGGCTGGTGATTGAGCGGGGAAATTAAAGCTTGATTACATGGCATGATGTTTGAGAATGAGGATTGAGGCACAAGAGGAAGGGAGGTTGGTCCCTCCCACCCCACCATAGGTACACTCTTAGACCATGCCGCGCATATCAACGTCACTCATCCGCAAGGCGCGTGCGATAGATTCTCTTCTTCCCGCTCTTCTCGCACCTTGCCGTGATCTGCAGGCTGCGCAAAACGAGTTGCGATGGCTGCGCGAACATGTCGAGGAAGTTGGCCAAACACGACGCGCCAGGCCAGACAAGTGGGCCAAGAGAGCTTTGCTGCGCCAATTGGTTCACGAAAGGTCACGAGGAAAGCCACTCCAGTATATACTGGGCACAGAACACTTTGGTGATTTGGAAATACGATGCAAGCCTGGCGTACTGATTCCAAGGTATGAGAAGTTCACAGTCTTAACAGCCTTGACTGATTTCTCCACCAGACCAGACACAGCGGCTTCAGTCACGCATCTTGTTAGTCTTCTTCGCAACTCGAAAAATCTTCCACCAGAATTGCGTCTTCTTGATCTCTGTACCGGTACCGGTTGCATTCCCCTTCTCTTCCAACATGAACTATCGCCTGCACGCAGCGACATTAACTTGCGCCTTCTCGGCGTCGACGTGTGTGACAAAGCGCTATCTCTGGCTAAACACAACCTCCAAAGGCTATCCAAGGACCGACGAGTCAAGACCAACAGGCAAACTCATTTTCTAAAAGCCGACGTACTGATTGACCCATTCGTGGATGAATACGGACAAGTCCTTCCGTTAAAGACAGCCCTCAACTATGCTTCGCAGCCAGTTTACTGGGACATAGTCATTTCCAACCCACCTTACATCTCACCCTCTGCATTTTGGAAGACTACAACGCGCTCAGTGCGTAATTTCGAGCCAAAGCTTGCACTGGTGCCACCATCCAAGTACAAACACACAGACACGCAGCAAGGCGATATGTTCTATCCGCGTCTGCTCGACATTGCACGAGATGTGGAGTCTAAAGTGGTGCTGCTAGAAGTTGCTGATGTTGAGCAAGCGCTACGTGTGGCTAGGGTTGCTAGAGATTTGGACATATTCGATGGCATTGAAATTTGGAGGGAAGATCCCAATGCTCCTGCCACCGAGATAAGCAAAGATGGTTTTGACGTTATTGGGCAAGGAAATGCCAGGACAGTCCTTTGCTGGCGAGGTCAAGGAACATGTTGGCTCGGCAAATCCACGACTACTTCTGCCACACCTACGGCAGAGGGTGCAAACCGCTTGTTCAGGGACACCCTAACTACATCGGTGAATTCTGCCGAAACTTGTTCGCCCAAGGTAGACACATATGACTTGAGGCCTCAGTTCGATTTGAAATTTTTCTCACAGCAGGATCCTCAGTCCACTAGCCATTTTCGTAGGCGGACCTGGAAGTATGATTGGATGCTTGACAGACATTTGGTCCAAACAAAGCCCTGATGCTCAAGGGCATCGTGCGTAAAGGGACTAGACACAGATTTGCTACTGCATAGCAACACAGAAACTAAAGGGTTAGTAAGAAGATATGTGCAAGATACGGCGACTAGAGATTGGTAAAGAGCTTTGAGAATGCGCAAGAGCCGAGCCTGCCCGAGGACCTGGAGGCTGGGGGAGATTGTCAAATTGGTGTTACACGAGTAAAATGATATCTAGACAACGGCAGCTTGGTGGATGAACATCTTGTCTCAAGGAGAATGATGAAGCATCAAGTATCACCTGGCCTTCTTTGTTTGAGTCTGGAACAGCTGTCGCTTTCTCCTGTCCTCCCACCGCGCCCAGCCGGAATCGACCAAGTCCTCCTGAATGACGAGGTCTCTGACACGGAGTACCCTCAAAAGCCACGTATCAAGCGCCCACTCAATCCAACCTGCTCTCCGCAGGTAGGTCGTGAATGCGAACCAGGCCAGAGCAAAAATGGCGCCGGCGGCACAGCCAACAATGACCTGCTTGGGGGTGTGGTAGCTCAAGTATATGCGACTGACGGCTACAGCAGCGGCGCCAAGCAAGGCGAGGAGTGAGAGAACGATGCGACCGCCCAAGGAGAAAGGAGTGTGGGTTTCGGTAGGATGCGGGACGTGACGGAAGATAAGGAAGAGGGCGAGGGTGACGGAGAAGAAGGAGACAAACTGGGCATGTGACGAGGGCATTCCATAGCCTTTGCTGTGCATTTCTGGTTGTTTAGCCGTTAGTACAGGGTGCTATTTGGGTTGGACTGGAGTCGTGTGGTCGTACGCTTTGGTCGCTCTTCCTTGATGTATCTCTTGAGCACCCAATTCAGGGCCTCGCATGTCATTTGGCCGGCAAACATGAGGAATATCTCAATCTCGCGGTTCGACCATATCAGCGTCGCATAGACGACGCACAGGGCCTGGGGGACGAGAGCCAGCCATGCGCACACCCACGAAACGCGGTCGGCCGGGTTCTACGAGCGTCAGCAGCGTGCGAGCAGTGGCTGTGTGGATGTACCAACATAGTACACATGGGTGAGGGAGAGCGAGGCAAGCGGAGGGCCGTCCATAATGCAGCGACAATGTGAGTAATGACGACAGACGCTGGGTGATGATGGCGCTTGCACATGCCCGGCGACGCCCTTCAAGACTTGGCACGGCGCGGGCAAGGTACGCCACGCCCCGCCCGTCGCGGCTCTCACTGACAATTGACTCTACTGCCTATGGATGCATCTAGTATCTAAGACTTGTCCGTTCTTCCCCCCCTTCACCATGGGCCTCTTCAAGGCCTCTTTTTCCTTTATGCGCTATCGATAGCTGCCGCCGCCGACGCCGCCACCCATTCGCCATATCAACCCACCGTTACCCCCGCGCTCGCGACACCAACCCGCCCAACGCCACCCATATGGCCGAAGCCACTCCGTACGATGAGCGCGCCGAAGAGCTCATCACCCTGCAGTCAATCTACCCAGAGCTAGTCATTCAAGAAAACAATCCCTACCAGGCCACTCTCCAACTGCTCATCGCCCCGACCAAGCCTATTCCCACGACCTTCGAGCCTTCGCAGCACGTCGAGCGACTTGCCTACCTTCCGCCCTTGGGCCTAGACATTTCCTTACCAGAGGGATACCCTGCACAGGTTCCACCTGTTGTAAAGCCCTCAACTTCGCCGTCATGGCTACCCGAGGACATCCAGGCTGCACTGTCCGCTGAGGCGCAATCACTATGGCATGATTATGGAGGAGATACCGTCTTATTTGCCTATATAAGTTCCTTGCAGGAGCAGGCTGAGACTGCTTTTGGTCTGCAAGGACTTACCCTTCCCTCGAGCATTCAAAAGCACATGGTAGACTATGCTCGGCGCATGAAGAAAGAGCTATTTGACAAGGAGACTTTCGACTGCCAAGTGTGCTTGGAACCCAAGAAGGGGTCTGCCTGTTATCGTATGGCTCGCTGTAGTCACGTCTTCTGCATCGCCTGTCTACAGGACTACTACAACAATTGTATCAACGAGGGCCATGTTCACAACGTCAAGTGCATGTCTACCGAGTGTGGTAGTAGCGCCAAAAAGAAGGATCGACTCTTGTCTCCAAAGGAACTGCTACAGATACCCATATCGCGTAGTCAAGTCGAACGCTACGCCAAGCTCAAGCGAAAGAAGAAGATTGAATCTGACCCGACCATTGTCTTCTGTCCTCGATCCTGGTGTCAGGGCGCCATGCGTACGGACAAATATCCCAAAATTACCGATGTCGGTCAAATGGACGACTCTGACTCGGAACCCGACGACACTCCAGAAGTCTCGATAAGCGCTAATACTGGGCCCGAAAAGCGGCGCGTAGGCGTGAGGGGCATGGAAAGGCTGCAAGTCTGTGAAGACTGCAATCTTGCCTTCTGTGTCGTCTGCCTTGCTTCTTGGCATGGAGACTTTGTGCGCTGTGAGCCCCGAGATGCCACTCAGCTCACCGAGGAGGACCAAGCATCACTCAACTTCATTGCAAGGAACACAACACCATGTCCATATTGCTCTGTGCCTTGCCAGAAATCTGTAAGTAGCTTCTACCGTCCTACGCCTACAAGCGCCCCCTGCTAACACATATCAAAGTATGGATGTAATCACATTACATGCGCTCAGTGCAAGACACACTTTTGCTACCTTTGTAGTGCCTGGCTTAATCCAGATCACCCGTATGCCCACTTCAACGATCCAAAGTTTAAAGATTGTTTCCAGCGCCTCATGGATGGGGCTGAGGGCGACATGGACAACGGCGAGGTTCGATTCGGTGGACGTCGGGGCGCAGAGCAGCTTGCGGACTTTTGGGAGCAAGAAGCCCTGCGCATACAGATGGATGAATTCAATGATACATGATATCATTCATGACTGCTGGGTGTATAACATGGCGCAATTCAATCATCAGTACCAGAGCAGTGAACCTTACAACCTTTCTCAATATTCACACTTTTATTGTTTTCATATTCATAAAGGCAAGGAAACTGCCCGCCGGCCTCGATCTTGAATATCTCTTGGTCGTGTGACGCTGAGAGAGTCCTTAGTCTTCTCAACGTCTCCTCGCCGACTTGAAAACTCGACCTTCTTGCTCGCCAGCTCATCCAACCTCTCGCAAACATCCGCATAAACCAACTCAACACGTTTCTCCATCTCATCGACCATTTCCGCCGTGCTCTCCTTAAACTCAGCCAGTTTATCGTCAAACACACGGTTCAGCTCCATGATGCTATCTTCCTTGACCACGACCACATCAAGCTTCTGTTCTTCAAGTAGCTCGTGAAATTCATCGTCAGCCGCGCTATGAAGTTGCGATGCATGGTCGAGCGTCTGGGCGTATATTTTTTCAAGTTGAGCTTCGAGGCGAGCGGTTGCTTGGGCATTTAGCAAGTTGCCGAGTGAGGATATTGGTTTTGGTTTTGGAGATGACCGAGAGAGTGATGATGGAGGTGACGATGAGCAAGGGGCGGCAAGCACACGTGGGAGCATATCTGGTAGTATTGCCTGGAGCATTTGCGGAAGCAACATTTCCAGTGTATTCTTGATTGCATCTTGGAAATCAGGCGCGCTGGTGATGGGAGAGGGCGAACGTAGTTTGGGACTTGGTGCGAACACCGATACCACCGACGCCTTTTCGGTCGGTGATGATACCAGACAAGACGTAGGCGAAAGCAGCGTGCGCTTCAAAGATGGTTCAGGTGATGGGCTGGTTGTGACTGTACTTCCATCTTAATGACAAGTTGAAAGGAGGTCTAGATAAGAACAGACTTACCTTGTCTTGGACGTTTCTTAGACGCTTCAATATACGGGGGAGGTGCTTCGGACGCGACATCATCTATTGGACCTAAGACGGACCAGTCTGCTAGCCTGAAATGTCTTGCCGAGGACGGATCCACAGGTATCCCAGTCAACTGTTCCGGATGTCTGATTAGGTGATCGAATCGAGCACAGTGGTCCTTATGTATCCAGTTCCAATCAAACAAGATATATATTTGAGTTGCACTGGCGAGCTTAACAAACTGAGCAAAGGCGGCACCGAACCCATCCTTAGGCATTGGGCCGAGGGATGGAGGGCACCAGACAGGGCAAGGTGTCTTGAGGGTCAAAGATAACATTCTCAAATGAGCGTTTCCCTGCCGAGCAATATCATGCAGCCGGTCCTGTGGAAGGCTGGTGGGCGGGGGCTGGACCAAAGTGTTGCCGGGCACCAGATTGTCAGCATTGTAAAGGAGGGTGAAGGTTTGCTTGTCGTCAAATCCTTGGATGGGCAGTGAGTATTGCAAAGAGATAGTGGCTTGCATGCGAGCCTCGAGATATTTGACGGCTAAGCAACATGGCCATTGTGATGCACCATCAGACGCGAGAGAAGCCAGTACTGGAATGCCGCTTTTGCGGACGAGTTTGTAGATCATTGTTTATTAACTGCTCTATACTCTAACAAGACTCACCTAAAAAAAAAGCGATACCCCTCTTGCCCTAAAATAGTGTAGAGAAGAGGAACCCACCCACCCGGGCTTTGATTGCACAGTTAGCAATGAGCAGCCCTGACTCTGTCGCGGAAGCTCCCCCAGCCACCTCGTGAACCGCTGACCACGCTGTGTTCACACTACTCGCGCCAGTCTGAATAATACCCCTATGAAAGCTGAAAGCCAGCACGTGAGCTAAGCTGACGAAACTGTGCAAACCGCGTCGTAGGCCTTGTGAGATTCGCAAGGATGGTGTATTGAGGCCTGGCTACGAGAAGGCAAAGACGACAATGTATCAACGGCTGACGGGGTGTGTGCGCTGGGGAGTTGCCGTCTGTAGGTGTCGAAGAAATGCGTATCGTGGAGGCCAGCTGTGTATGTGCGGGGGTTGCGTGTGATGGTGGCGAGCTGGTTGTGATGGAGAAGAGGTGGGGAGGGGGCTGTCAGGGCGTAATGTACGCGAGGGAAAGCGCGTGCAGAATGCGCTAACCTAATACGGACTAGTGACGTCCATACACCATACCTACGCTCCTCAGCATTTCACCTACCATCCTGGTAAGTCTAGCGACCTGTGCGAGTGAGCGTGAACATATGTATGTCGGCGTTGGGGATAGCGCTTTCCCGAAAAGGCTTAGGTGAGGTAATATTACAAACCCAAGAACCAGCCAAGCAGGAAGATACGACAAATAGGCTCACGCGCAGGCACTGGTTTGCCTGCTTTGTTGTTAGTCTGCAGGAATCTTACTCCTATCCAAGAGTTCTTTTCCCAACTAGGATATCCGTTGCCTAATATTTCATGTTCTGAGTCTTCACTATAGGGGTAAAATTCCGATTCTGATCCTGAAGTAACAATTGCTAAATTGACGACACAGCCCCTTGCCTCCACGGCCAAATAATTTCACCTGTGTGAACAGAACTACCTAATCATCAAGCTTAGGTCCTTTGGAAATGGGAAAGTTGCAGGCAAAAAAAGACAGCCTAACATATCCATAGGTGATGATGTTTTTCACCGAGAGATCAGCAAAGCCAAGGAACCCCAAGCATGATATAATAAACAACACCGTTGGCGAAAACACAGTAGCTGCCGTCATGCAAGCACAGGACATCTCGTTAAAAGGAAATTGTAGTGGTCGCTCCACTTCATAAGTCCAGTCATTTCCCCGTTACCTATCTCCAACAAAGCAAACAGACACTACCATATAACCACCTAATTACCCAGCTGCTTGTCACTCTTTTCACACCACTCAATACTTGCTCAATCTTCCACCATGCGGTTCGCACTTTTCACCGTTTTTCTGGCTACTGCCTTTGTCAACGCCAACCCCGTCCCCGAGAACCTCGAGGACATTGCCATCAACGCAGAAGATGCACTGGCGAAGGCTGCAGCAACTACACCTGAGCTTGTGAAGCGTAAAAGCTGGGTAAGAGCGTCATCAAACACATCGTTATTTTGTTACTTTCTAACAAGTTTTCTGATAGCTTTGCGACCCCGTGCTTCAGAGCTGTGGCACCGGAGACCCCAGCAAGGCTCATTACTGCCGACCCGTACGTTATTCCTCCATCGATATATCTCACATACATCATGCTGATCGTAGCTCTAGAACTCGTGCACTGGATGGAACGGATGCATTCCTTATACTACCTCAACTGGCCAGAGATACGCATGGTGCTCTTAAGTGTTGCGAATCCCGCTTTTCCCTTGCCAGAGCCGCGGCTATCCTGGATATTCGTAGTCAATCATTTGCGTAGTTTTAATACTATCACAATATCTAGACAACTCTTGAACAGTTCTTTGTTTCTATAAACCAGTCTTCTATTACGTAAAATCTTCCAAAAGTACGACTGGTAATGGCGACGTGTGCATTTGAGCATGTGTGAATAGCATGGAGATAGGGTTTAGTATTATCACCTGTCTGGGTACCCATCAATCTCAAATAAAACATGGTTTTAGTACGCTTCATAGACATCTTGTTGTCCTTCCTTCAAGTGTACATTCGTAACTACTATCACACGAGCATTTGGTCTACAATGGGGCGAGTAGTCTAATTCAGCTCTCATTGTCTTGATTTGATAGAAGATACTACTTGTTCATGTGTTCTAAAACGTGGAATATGTCCAAAATTAGTATAAGCAAGCGTGGAACAGTTGAGATATATGTAGGAGCGGTTAACACTACCGCTTGGGCTATAGCGATATCCATGAGATGAGCTTTGAGGATGCAACTCAGTTGTTTAATAGCTCACGTCTAAGCTGCAAAGACAGTTACAATGAGATAGAGATGTTACATGTGTTCTTTGATATACAGTGACGAGGAGCAATGAAAAAACAATTCTTTCAACACATTGGGAGCGTCATTGGTATCGGGATTTTACGACTCCCATTTCAGCTTCAAAAATCTACAGGCACTTCGTTCAAGCTGACAACACGAACGCTTCAAACCTCACATGATTCGGATGTCTACCCAGAAAATGGAACTATATCCGCAACAATAGGCAACAACAGACACCCTTTGCTTTACCAAACGATACTGCTCGCTTAATCAGTGTTTGTAACGTACAATCGATACTAATCGTTTGGTTGTATCAGCTTTCTTATCCCATAGACTTCATTATTTATTGGAGTGGGTTTGAGAGCGCGCAATTCACAGACCAATGGTCATGTTTTCTAATCTCTTTACTCAGTTGCCAAATTACATGATGAAGGGCATCACCCAATGATATTGACCAGCAACGTATATCAATACTCATTGGACCGCTCGAACCAAGTATGCAATAAATGAGTGACCGCTCCAGCCTCGTAAACAATGGGCAATATGATTACAAAGCCAGTAATAGTCTTGTCAGAGACTCGTGCATACGACCGATGGAGCGTAAGCAGTAGAGACCATGGTATTAATCAAAAACCCATCTGCCAGATTGCCGATGTCGGCAACTCAACGGGGTTATGACGACGTAATCCGATTTAAATCCGCCACGAATTCCGAAGGAAACTACGAAGCAAGACCATGAGGCTGACGATACGACTATCAGTAGCTGCACATGAAGTTTTCTTTGAAAGGCTTCTGCTGAATGAAGAAATTTACTCTGGATAACCCACAGAATCTCTGATGTCGTTGGTTTGATTGATGCTATGATGTTAGAGATCTCCGTTTTGAGCTAGCGCTGGGTGACGTGAGCAACATGGGAGCATCTCATATTATACCTAGCAGAGAGTAGAACTAGATTAGCTTGTATTCAAAGCAGGTAAAGTAGCAGCATTGGTCAGAGTCTCATGGTCAGAGCAGTCAAAATAGCCGGGCAAATATGTAATCAAAGTGCAATCTTCTCCACAACTCTTTCCGCGCTGACGACATGATTTTCAAATGACCTCCTAGGTATTAGCATTCCCAGAGTGCATAAGACTTGAGCTGCATAGCCTGTTGTCACATGTGTTCTTTCTCAGCGCTAAGCTGAACGTGGTAGCTTTGGCTTCCGCGGACCCGCAGCCTCCCGGTCTGAAACGCTTGGAAAAAGGAATCGTCATGCAATAATATACTGGACTACGCGTCTACTTAACCTTTGCTTTTCATCTGTTAATCTCTTAATCCTACTTATATCTACAACCCTAATCGCTAATGTCGTTACCAGAGATGAAATGAGATCAGGGCATCCAATTTTGCAGTCGAGCGCCAGGGCAATATGACATTCAGAAAGAGACTGACCAAGGCGGAGGAATGAGCAATTTTTTGATGTAAGCTCGTCATGGCGTATTCCATTGAACCGTAGTCTTCTACCTAGCGTCGCAGCGTAACGCCAGCATTGGTTGTGTGTTCTCTTAGAAAGATTCCCAATGCGGAAATACCATGACGAGTTCGTTGGGGGATTTACCCGTTCCCGCCCCCGCCACACATCTATTTCCTCGGCAGATGCTAGAGCTTCTCCCACTCCATCCCTAAACCTTTATCGCATTTTGCTTTCTACCATATGTGCGCAAGATTAGGCGTTTACCTACCCTGTAGAGAGATGCGGCTCTGAACAATAATTCGCGAATTGCAAATTGCATACTCTATTTACAACCCTGTTGTCCCTGGAAAGCTGACCGCTTAAGCACCTACTTATATGGTAGAACCAGTGCGGCGGATCCCTACATGATTCGGTGCCGATGCTAGCAAAATGCGGAGGGTATTTCATGCGTAAGTATAATATACAACAGCAGTTGATTTGCTACAAATCGAGTATGCGTATGTACATAGTACTCGCTTACCGACACGAGATTAACGAGATCTCGCTATCTCATTGGTACCACCTCAATCGCAATTCGCTTGCATCCTCACTTTCTGACTGCTGAAATGTTTCGAAACATACTCACGTCATCTCCCAACCTACTGTTGTATGAGACGGCTGCTGTGGCCCACCTTCCGGGGGGACTGATGCAATCGGGCCGTGGAGGTCGAATCTCGGTGCTTATTCAAGGGCATCGCTGCATAATTGCACAAGCTCTCCCCAATACCATTTGTTCCGCACAACTGAAGGTGACCCATTTTAAACTTCTCAGATTGCTTATTCCCTTAAGATTAGCCTAAAAATCGGGTGGGGCCCGCCCGATTTCAGACACTAAGATGACTTACTCAAGCTACGCTATGAGGGCCTTAAAAGGTTGGGTGTCCACGCCCTCTTGAAACCAAACAGGCTTTCATTGCGCAACAGTGAACCAAGCTTGCGAAACATTCTTTTCGTGACCGACTCCACGTTTTCAACATGTCTGTTCAAGCTTACGATCCCCCGCTTATCAGCACCTTCCACCAGGCCGACCCTGCAGCCCACATCTGGAAGCATGATCCCAACACGGTATACATCTATGGGTCCCACGACTGGAACTCGACCAGGCAGCCCCCGGTGGTCCGTATTCAAGGATTTCCATTATGTGAATGCAAGTTGACGAAAGATAGCAATACGACATGAAGGATTACTATGTGCTTACTCAGACCGATTACACCAAGCCTGCCAAAGTCGGACCAAAGGTATAACGATTCTTTAACTAGAGATTGGTGGAATTTGTAACTGACAAAAAAAATAGCTTTTGGACCTCGTGGACATTCCATGGGCGAAGCAGCAACTCTGGGCTCCTGATGCGGCCGAGAAGGACGGCTACTACTACCTGTTCTTCCCAGCCAAGGACAAGGACGATGTCTTCCGCATCGGAGTGGCCAAATCTGACAAGCCGGACGGAAAATTCAAGCCCGAACCCAACCCGATTGCCGGCACCTACAGCATTGACCCAACAATCTTGGCAGACAATGGCAACTACTACATGGTATGGGGCGGACTGTGGGGTGGCCAGCTTCAAGCATGGACCAACAACGTCTTGGTAAGCCTCCGCCTTTTCCGCTTAACTAACCCCAGCTGTTGGTAAGCATGGCCAAGCTAATACTAACGCAATTTTCAGAACACGTCCCAATTCGGTAACATTTCTCCTACTTCTGGACCAGCCATCGGACCCCGTTTCGCTAAGCTCTCGGCCAACCTCACCTCTCTCGCCACCACACCAAAGGAACTCGTCATCTACGACCAAGATGGCAAGATCATGCAGGCAAACAGCACACGCCGCTTCTTCGAGGGCCCATCCCTGAACAAGGTCGGCAACCTCTATGTCCTCCAGTACTCCACCGGCACCCAGCACACTATTGAAGTCGCTACCGCTACCAAGCCGGATGGTCCTTACTACTGGAAGAACACGCTTCTGCAGCCTGTAAAGGGATGGACTACCCACCAGTCGATTGTCAAGTTCAAGAAGGATTGGCTTCTTTACTATGCTGATGCCTCGCTTTCTGGTCGTGATGATCTCCGCAACACTAAGGTCAGGAAGGTCTTGTTTGAGAATGGTACCTTTAAGCTCGCTCAGCCTCAGCCTGTAGTTAGCCCTTAGGGCTAGACATTGTTGATGTTCAGACTTCTACATATTCCACTGCGGCTTAAGCTGCAATGTTCACGATCCGTTAATTACTGAAAGCGTTGTTTCTACACATAGAATTGCCAAGCAATTAGATTTGACGATATATCTGCCAAGATGTGAACCGAGTTCCTGGGATACTTAGTACCATTGTTTTACGTGACGTATGTTAAACCATATACTTGGTATGGGGTGGACTAAGCTGTCATAACAGTATCTTCGCCCAGCATCAAATAAATGTAGACAACGAACAATTATATTTGGCACGACAACACGAGGCTACAGCTCTTGGTCTAGCCGTCCAACTAGGACCTCGAGAAGAGACATAAAGAAAATCCCTAAATCCATAAGTAGTACTGTCTTCAGTGACCTAGGTTGGTGGATTGAGTAGAGTTACATAGAGTATAGGTAGGGGTAAGAGTATAACTACCAAAAGTAGGCTTACGTTATACCCTACTCATTCACCAACCAGAATGAACCGTTAAATACCAAGTTCATGGTGCAGTCCATGGATCACCCGCATTTCTAGGCACGATACAAATACGGCGAAAAACACACTACTTCACTCCCAAGCTCCGTATGTCGATCTAAAATGTCTCATGCCATAACTAGAAATGTCGTGCACAACGACTCCTTCCATAAGCGGAAGCGTCAAGCATAACCCCACTCTCATACTCAAAATCATCAATAGATCCCTACCAACATTTCTTATTTCTCCCTCTTTCCCCCTGAACCTCCAGCTCTCAAACTCTCAAACTCAAACACTCTATGTCTTCTTATCCCGGCAACTGCTATCCTTGCCCGTCGCGCCCGCGATCTGGCACCACTGCCTCCAAGAACAATTGCTAAACACAACTTCCTTTGACTTGTTGGCCTTGCACTCGCGTGCGCCATCGGACCCGCGACTCGCATCTGCCATTGAGGCTCTGTCGCCAAACCCGGCGCATACTTGTGCTGTGGCGGCGTTGTTGGGGACTCCGTTCGAGTCGTAGCAGTGGCAGGATTGATAGTTGGAGCAGGCGCTGATTGCGAGGGGAAAGAAGAGGATGGTGAAGGGTGAGAGTTTCATTTTCGAGGCTGGAAGGGGAAGGGGGTTAGTTGGAGGTACTGGGGGATGGAGGGGAGGCAGGTCGTACTTTGTGCAGTTCACACTATGTAGATGAGTGTGGTAGTAAAGAGTTTGAATTTTTTTTGATGCTGATGCTGCGATTTGTCTTTAGGGGTAGGAAATGGTTTGATACTTATAGTCCTCTTTGCAATCTTCTTTGATTCTCATCCGGATGATCCTCGTGAGCCAAAAGAGTAAGGTAACACTACCTTAGAGACAACTACGTGTGCTTGACACAGCTAGTACAGTGAATACTAAAACATAATCCACTTTGTCGGTTAAAATCAACTACTTCGCGCTGAACCTCAAACGAGCAGGTCATTTGCAACCAACATGCGCTAGCACGGACACAAGTAGACTGACATGTACAACCACTGTCATGCCAAGCAATAGAATAAGTACGACATCCAAGTCAGGGCCCGTGTACACAGCGCACTCACGTTTGAACCCCAACTCAAGTCCCAGAAACACGGATGGGACTAGTAACAACGAACCATTGCAATCATCTCGGTCCGATACAACAGCATCAAAGTGGACCAGGCCTCCGATTCATTTCCCCTAACTACAATCACGGATAAAAAGCCAAGGAAAAGCAAGTAAGCAAGCAGACAAGCAAAACCCGTGCACTCGGTAGACTTTCTCCCCAGACACACATGCCACTATTTACCGCACATCATTGGGGCCAAAGCTTCGTATCTCGACAGTCTAGTAACTAAGCTCCGATCAAGAAACGACCAAGGCGGCCAAAAGCTTGTTTTTCACTTACTCACAACACTATTATCCACACCATACTATCGCTGTCAAGAATCCTGCATCCCGTTTCACCCTGTTCCACAGAGTCAAGATGAACACAAAAGGGCTGTTGACAAGCAAACATCAAGTCATAATTATCTGCTATCTCACAGAGTGGGCATTGCTGTAGGGTAATTGCGAATAAAAGGGATAAGGATAAGTACTTGGTAGGGATGATTGCGTTTGCCCGCCCCAAAAGCCCGGCGCAACAACGGGCACGCACGGCAGAAAGAGAAAGGAAACCGGGGTAATATTTTGGCACGTTGTTCGTTGCTAATCATCGGTGGTTTCGGTCGGACTTGGCCCAGGGCTCGGTCCGAGTTTTACTTAGTACTAGTAGGTTGGTGCAATGTTGGACATGGCGCGATACTGCAGCGGGTACTCGTCTTATCGTTCGTGTCAAACTTTATTTCCAACGTCATTGCTATTGAGGAAGTTTTATCTGTTTGTTATGTAGTAAGCTCATTTGGCAACAACTGGTGGTTCGGGTTGGGACTCTGGGCAAAGATAGTATCTATGCATGGCAGTCCGTCCTACCAATCTTTGCTTGTGTGTACCACGTGGGCGCGAGACCTGCTTGTTTCGCATTATACGTACCCTCTAGTACATATCCAAGTTTAAACGCGCTAGTCACTTACCTACTTGAACATAGTGGGGATATTTTTTAACATTAAGCCAAGATAAGTAGTTATTACTACCTCTTTATGTAATGTCTTTTCTTCGCGGCTGGAGTCAGTCGATTAGTTAGCTTAGCACGTGGGATGTCTTGATAAAAACGGGTAAAGAGGATCCTAGTCGGTGGGGAAGTTGTGTTTCCCCAGGCCCACTTTCGAGTCACTGAGCTACGTGCATAACGCTAGTACTACTGGGTATCGGACCTAAAGAATGGGTTGATGTGCAGGTGGAACCACTGCCGTGTATATGCTAGTATTTCGGTCAGCACTTACGTAGACGGCGGATCTACTTATCCACATACTGTAATTTGACATGATCCGCATGAACATCGTAAGCTGCCTACTAAGTTGCTAAGTGTTCAGTGGCTTGCCATAATCTGCCATGCCAGGCTGTGTGAGTCTTTCAAGCAAAGAATTGCATAGACAGCTCAATAGGTTGTACATTGTCAGTTGATGTACATACGTATATAGCAGCATAATGCAGGGCACATTCCATGATCAACAAATATCAAGCATGCAGCCATTCCATTCGTGGAAAACATCATGTGAGAGATTCATATCCCTACACGGGGTATAGAGAACCCCTTCTATAGGCCAATTCAACAAGGTACCTGAACAGCTCCGAGTCAGAGCTCCCTGATTCATTGATAGCCTATCCCGAATAGGTTGATTCGTGCTAAACAACCACCGGTGAAATTGATATTGCAATCTGAAAGCAGATAGAATGATTTCGAAGTGCAGCTTGGTTTCTTCAGATATCTGTATATAAGGAGGACAAGACGACGTAAATATGAGAATCACCACTCACCACGAGATCCAGCCTTCAAAGCACACCTTCGAACTTCAACCCCTCCAAACGCACTCTTCAATCCTTTCTCAAGAATCACTCTTGTCCCACCACTCTCCTCTATCACCATGCGTTTCACCGTCCCATTGATCGTCATGGCCGCGGCCCTTACCAACGCCGCAGCCATCCCCGAGGCTAACACCTTGTCTCCTGTTGTCATTACCAGCGTAAGACCTCCATTCCCCTTCCAAGATCACCTCTTTCTAACCTCACACAATAGGACGGCATAACCTCCGAGGTCCTCGACCTCTCTGCCTCTGCGGACCTCGATAAGCGCCAAACCCCCTCTGCCAACGCGCAAGTCATTGGTGACCACTCCGGCAGCGCCGGCCAAGCCGTCGGCCGCATTCTCAACGCCATTCTCAACAAGCTCTTCCCGCTCAAGGACTGGAACCCCGCCCGCGAGACCTTCACCAGGCAGACCACCGCACTCATGTACCAGAACAACCCGGACCGTAACCGCTGGGTCGCCACCGTGTGCTACAACAAGGGCTGGGACGTCAAGGACCGTCGCGCCATCTCCGACGTCGTCAGCATGAAGCTCAGCCTCGGTGCTTTCCACACCGACTACGACTGCATGTATATCGGTCGCCACAACCAGTTTTACACTCAGTCTGACGGCGGATACATCAACGTTAGTTCCCTCTCATTTTCTCACAACAACATCATCATTAGAAGAGAAATAAAGAAACATACTAACTTTTGTGACACAGCTTGCCTTCCAGTACGACAGCAGGTTCTGCAGCTACGATGGACGCACTGCCGATCTTACTTGCAACTAGAGTGGTATGGACTAGGTCGATTGGTTTGGGATTCTCTTAAGCATCATGTAACTGAGTGAATGAGCATCTGAAAATGGTAGTAATAATTGCAATGCATGATTATGAGAAAATTAGTTCCTACTGTGCACAACTTGAGCCATTCGCGCACAGACACGGTACGTTAGAGAGAGCCGCCATAAAATGAAGCTAGCATTGAAAAACAATGGCAATACATACTATGTCTGCGTGAAAACACATATTAGCAAACTCTCTATTCGGTTTTTCCATCCCCCTCATCAAATCCAACTAACTCCATATATATCTCCGGCTCTTCAATGATATTTCCATCTTTGTCAATGCGATTTCCATCCTTGTCGATAAGATTTCCATCTTTGTCAATGCGATTTCCATGCTGATCAACGTATTGCACCGGGGCAGTTCGAAGGAAGCCATCCTTCGGGCCTTTTTGCTTCAATTTCTAAATTCTTCAAATCAGTCTTGACAAAACTTCTAGGATAAATTGTCCATGTGCGTTGCGGCAAGAATAACACCAAAAAAAATGCCACTTACATTGCTCCAAAACTTCGAGCTTGGTCTGAATTGTACGCCGCGGAAGGAGATGGCGTATCCACCCGGCTCCTGCTAGTTTTTTTTTAGTACGAACATTACTGTGTAATGGAACAAAATGTACCCACATCATATACTATGTGTTCGTCAATATCGAACTGGACCTCGCGCGAACCATTGAGCCCAATTTTGCCGATGTTTGTCGCTCCGACTTCGAATCCGGCATCGATTTTGTTGCCGGTCTTGTTCCACATGGCAATATCACACTTCTCTGTAACCCATGTAGCCGTGATAATCCAGACACCAAACTCCGCAATCTGTTGTTTGTGCTGAGCAGACAAGCTCTCCATGTTGTCCTTCATCCAGTCTCCAATTATTTTGTGGGCTTTTGTATCAAACGTTTTGTGCACTACATTTGGTGACACAACCACGCCTGCACCAGCCTTTGCAGTGCTTCCTACCGCGGTATTGGCTCCTACGTCCACAGGTGCTTGAGCAGCGAGTCCGGAAACCTCTGCTTTGACGCCAAAGCCATGGCCCTCGTTTTTCTCTACAACCTTTTTCTTCCATGTGCACACGGTCGGCTCCATCAGATTGAGCGGCTTGGTAGGACGGACGTACCCATTGAGGTCAGATTCATTGAGATCAGTGAGATCCGTAATCGATTCCCACTGTCCACCTTTGTTGAAGAAGCCGCAAGAGCCTGGATGGAAGATTTTGTCTTTGGGAGGTGTGTACAAGAAGGTGCCTTCAGTGCACTTGCTCATGAGGGTTGCGTATGCTAGATCCATCTCGCTGTCGTGGGTGCTTATGAATGTAAAAGACCAGAATGAGGATTCAAATAACGCGATTAAAATTGAGTAACTCCGCACTTAGTTAACACTACTTATATAGTGGTGCAAGTTGCTCACTGCGATAGAAAAGAAATTAATTGCTATTAGCTGGCGATCGCTGTCTTCAGATCGTCGTGCCATGTCTCTGGTAGCTAAGTTGATCCCAATAGTCATCGCCGAACAAAAGATACAGTTTGTGACTGTGTGGGTGGGAAAGGGCCACGTAAAGGTGTTACTAGTTAGATTCTGATAGCTAGTCCGACGTATTATGGGGCATCTCAAGGAAATCGCGGTTTCATTCGTATATGTTGTTCAGCTCCAGATACTGCCAATGCAGTATACTGTACCTTTTTGGGCATGTGGTGGCTTGGGTGGAGCTGAGCCAGGTGTCGTCACACGCAGATCGTTTTTACCTCAACTGACTAACTAATAGCTGCCTATGCTTACCAAGATCTTGCATTCATCACGGATATGTCTAGAGACACAACCTATCAATTTGTTAAGGAGCGGAGAATCCTAGAATTAAATATGCGAACGTGCGGTAGTCTAGCTTTCAATAAAGATTCCGCTTATGGCATTAAAGACTTTAATAGTTATCCTAGACTTCTGGCTGCTATCCTAGGTGTGGGGTTGGTAGTAGCTTTCGATGATGTTATTGTGTCGTCAAAAAGCTGTCATATTCAAGGGAGGCGTTACCAGGCGCTCTTCTAATAGCTTATTGGCACCTCTATAAGCCGACATACCTCACGCGTATGCCGATTATGTACTCTGCAAAGACCCACCGATCGTCCGGCCCGTCCAGCGCCGGTACCAGGAAGGGAATGGCCAAGAAGTTGGCTTGGTTGTCACCCAGTGGGGGTCCCACACCACGCTGCGCAAGTCGGGGATGGCATATACTCTTTAGTGCCCGCTCCCTACACCATGTTGTTTAGCGTATTGTAGTCTATTAATAAGCGGTAAGTGGTTAGAGAGATTCTTAACGAGCGAAATTGCTCGTCCATTCTTAATGCAGTCATTTTTTGGGTCTGGCATCCGAGTGGCAGTACTTCAAAATTCTAGACAAAGATTATGATTGGTCTAAAGTTAGTTGTCCTGAGAATAAGCTTGGTGGGATAGAGTTGGCCACCCCAACTACTCCACTAATTTAACTTTGAAGCTACCCACCCCCAAAATGCGTCTGTTATGGCCGATCGAGAGATTGCAATACAATCTGTTATCCGTGATTATCGTGCTGGTGTTTATTTTTCACAGAAATCCGCCGCTGCCGCGTACGGTGTTCCGCGATCGACGCTTCGGCACCGGCACGCTGGGCGGCTTCAGCCGCGATAGCTCACCAGCAGCAGCAGCGATTATCACCAGAACAAGAAACTAAGCTCGTTGGTTAGATTCTACACGAGTATTACTGCGCTTGCCCACCAAGTCATGCACTCTTCCGCGAAATGGTTACTCGGATATTCCACCAAAAGGATGATACTAACTCACTAGGCCGTCAATAGATACCCAACCTCCTACGCCGCAACTCACACATCCACTTGACTATTGGTCGAAATATTAAAGCTTATAGTGCTAAGACAGTCTTACAAGTAACAAGAGGAATTCTCTCTTGGACGAGGAACGGGGAGTTGGGGGCCATCCACCGACCACGACGTCAGAAGATAATGATCATCGCGGAGCGACGATCATGTGATTGACATCATACCAAGACCAGAGCATCAGTGATACCACCCAGGATATGTGACAACGGGACGTCACAGTAGGAAAGTAAAGCCACTTATGTCAGGCTCGGGTCCTGATGCAGGTAGATTGCGCAGCGATGTAGTTAGGTCGTGTAGACATAAAAGTACTGTCTTGTTGTACACACACCTTGCGCATAATTCCACAGGCGTTCGACAAAAAGCTGATTAGTTTATAGTGAAAAGTAGTATTAGTATAAAGTCTAAGCTAAGAGCCCTTTGATAACTAGCAACTTTGATGATAAGTAAGTCATCTTGCGGAGGAATAAGTAAAGGGAATATAAGGCGCGGCTGTCTGCAACGCGCGTGTATATCACTGGACCGATAGCGGCCTGCAAAATCGGGAATAAGAACTGCCTGAGGCATCGATCTGATTTTCAGGGTTGCAGTTCTCAGTCATGGGGTCTTAGAAGAGGGTTAGTTAACAGCACTAGCAAAAGGAATAATAGCATAGTCAGTAATGTGCTATCTAGCGCTGGAAGGTAACGCATTAGAAGAGCAAGAGCTAAAACAATAAATACACGCTAGACTAGTTGATTTATATTTATTATAGAAGCATGCCAGGCATCTGGAAGAAAAAGTGTCCCGTCTTACCGGACGTCCCGGCACATAAGGATTGACATTAGTTTACTAGTAATAATCTTGCTCTAGACTAGCTCTATGTATGATAAAATGAGACAACTGTTGGAGGTGGAAATTTCGTTACTGCAGGATTGAGGCACAGTTAGGAGGTACTTAGCGGTCGGTGCACAAAAAGACCCCTGGGAAAGCTTTGACCCCGGAGCCCCGCTCACCCGCACTCGGTACTTATATTGGTCTTGGTACAGAAGCAGGTCAGCCAAAATTGAGCCCGACCCTTTGAGGATTCTGTCAATGGAACTTTTGCTACACCGTATCTGATCCGGATTTTTCTATGGTGCGAGGCTAAGTGCAGAACGTTTAGCATTGAACATATACCTCAGCGTGACAGCCTTCACCTGCTTCTTACAGCATATCAGCCCCTTTACTGCCCACTCCCCCGACTGCTAGCGGTAGTGCTAGCATACTTGATCCTACACCATGACCACTTTTCATCCATTTCCACGGCTTCCTCTGGAGCTCCGAGAGCAAATCTGGAAAGACACCGTCGAACCGCGCACTGTCGATGTCCGACGTTTTCGAGACCGGGGTATAGCCAGTGTCGGAAGGTGGGGTCTAACCCTAACCCGTTCGTCTACGCCAGTGCCTGCCATACTGCAGTCCTGCCGGGAAGCCCGAAACCTTGGGCTTTACGAGCGAGTCTTCATGCCCACTGAGCCGACAGAAGGCGGGCCTCTCGACACCAAGGAGCGCTATGTCTGGCTGAATTTGGACATTGATATGGTGGATATTGGGGCTTCTGAGTTCCGCTGGTACAAATGGATCGCATCAGCAATTAAGCGTCTCAAGTTTAGTCGAGAGAACAGTGATGAAGTTTTCTACCGCACTGAATCAAGTGAACTTGAGCAGTTTGTTAATGTGGAAGAGATTCACATAGACTGCGCAGATGGTTTCTGGATGTGGGGTGATGCTACATATGATCATCCCTGGCCCTGTGCTAAAGAAAAGCTGCTATTCATTGATGCATTCGATGGTCGAGTTGCGCGTGGCTTGGAACTGGAAACCATATGTAGAGAGATACTGATGGCCATGCGAATAGAAGCTACTGGAAAAGCATTTAACACTGACGACGAGTTCTCAGACTGAATCAGGAGAGGGAAAAAGCAAGGTTTAGCAGCGCATTTTTTTGCGAATACGTATAACAGTAGTAGTTGGGCAATAATGCTGAGGGTAGAAAAACATCTATTTTCTATATATACACAGAGAATATATGCATGTCTAGGTGTACTTAGGGTATCAAACTCCCCAGAGCGCCTGTGCAGTTGTAGCCTTAGTGTTTGTCCGTGTGTGCAGGCGCTCGATGTATGACAATATCGCATTCTATTATTCAAAGAGGATGTGCGTGATTGATTGTTGTTGCTTGGTCTCGTTTCCTTCTTGCACATTATCCGCCTGTCTTAATTACTCTTTGAACCCCATTTCTGTCCTATCCCGTAATTACTCCACCGAAATGTCTTTCTTGTCCGACTTAGAAGATGAGATCTGCGTACTCGCCTAGTACGCCTTCTTTACCGCCATCGAAGAAATCATGCAGACCGTCCATGGCGGCAAACTTGCTTGCAATTTCCAGCCCGCGCAGTCGCTCCGCCTCGATGACGTCCCAGTTCCATTCGTCTGGCTGGACAACTTTGGGTAAGCTGGTTTCGCTTTGCTCATTCTGCTCAGGCGCGGGACTGTGGTATTCCCAGCCCTCTGGTTTTAACGGAACCATTTCGGAGTCTACGAGAGCTTGCTCTGGCGGGACTGTGATCCTACCGCGTTTAATCACGTACTTGGCAAGTGCAGTCGCGTAAATTGCGCCTTTCAACTTTTCCGGATCAACATTTTCAGAGCGGTTCTTTGACTTCCTCCAAGGTTGCAGTGTCCAGCTCTCTGGCTGAGCTACACCGGGCTTGACAAGATGAGTGACTAGGTAGAACCACTTCCTGTCCCAGCAGAGTAGCCTGGTCCACATTTCAAATTTTTGATAAGGCGGAATCTCCCTTTTGAACAGACAACTTATCCCGCCTAGCGCGATGATATGCCTGCCTGATGTGCCCTCTGTGGCTCCCATGGCTCCAGCCACTTGACTCTTCTTGGTGCCAGACCGGCGACTCTGTTTTCGGATGGCGTTACGCATCAACGCGGTAAAGAGGTGGGTGCGTGAAACGTCCATGTCGCTGAAGTAGGTACTGTTGGACTTGTGCAAGTTGTAATCTGTTTCGATGAGGGTGGTCCGAGTCGAGGAGATCATGGGCTGGAACAGTGCATGGGGAGGAATGGGTGTAGGCTGGACGTATATGTGGTAAAACATGGCCCGAAAGATGCGTATCTGGGTACCTGATCAGTTTGCTAGCTCGCATCTCGTATCGAGTAAAAGTAGTCCTACATGCCAGACAAAAGGCAGGTTCTTCAGGTTGCCCAAGGCAAGAAGAATCGCAGCCATCCTCCACAAACCACCAGGCGCATTATAGCCTGTCCAGCGAGCCAGCGCAGCCAGCAGGCCGTCTCTCCATGCCGGTTGCGCCACGAGGGCTGCCATGGACGCGCTTGCAACGACAACGCCAGTCGTTTGCGCCATGGTTACCATACCAGGTTTGACCGACAAGAACCCAAGAAAAAAAAAGGCGACAACAAAGAAAACACAGATTTGGAGATTTGAATGCAAAAACGTTGGTTGGACGAAGTGCAGCGCATCCACCGTAATCGAATTGTCACGTTTCTAATCACAAGCCTCGGCTCGGAGTTTAAAGTCCCGACCATCCATGCTGTCGCAACATCGTGGAAGGGAAATCAATGATTAATTATAACGCAATCCGCCAAAAAAAGTCCGATCGCTCAGCCACGTGTGGGGCTGGACAAATGCCGGGGCTCCTTTACCAATGCTCGTATCGGAGGGGATTACTTTTTCTTGCCCTTTGTCTTGTCTACCACGTCGACCCAATTTTTATTGACGCCTCGCTTCTCCAACGCCTTGATGATGGCGTCCTTTTGTGGGCCTTGGACCATGACCTCCATGACGGGAGCTTTGGGACTGGAACCTTGCAGCTTGTCGATGCTCGTGCTGCCTGCACACGTTTTTCTCAGTTCGTCGGCTAGAGGTTGAGGGGGGATATAGTAAGATTCCAGGCCATGAACCTTTGTGACTGTTTTGTTGCCACTGCGTGTCTCGAGAATGATCTGAATCTTGGGCGGAGCGCCCGCTTTGGGCTTCGTGTCTGCGATGTTGGCATCGTTGCGAAGAATTGCGTGCAAGGGAGAGGCAGCCGCTAGCATGCGTTCTGCCAGAGCGTCTCTAGGCATGGCCCCTGATGAGAGCGCCGCGTTGTCGGCTGCCGATGAGCCCAACAGTGCGTCTGCTAGCTGGGGATTTATGCGAACAAGGCGCTTGTTCTTTTGATCAATGAGGTTCTCAGCCTCGACATATGCCAAGAGGATCTGCTTGAGCTCGGCAGGCGTGTAAAGACCTCGAGGGTCCGCTTTAGAAGCAGCCAGGATGGGGGCTAATTTCTCCTTGGGTCGGAGCACAGAAACAAGCTTTAATTTCTGGCCGAGTGATGGGTCGGCGGATGGTGGTGGGGCGGCCTTGTCATTTGCACTTGTGGCAGTCGGACCGTCCTTCTTGGGTAATCTGTATGGGACAAACGACTCCAACTGGCGGTCTTTGAAATCGATATCGAGAACAACAACCTCATTGCTGTCACGGTCCTTGGACTTGATGATGAGCTGTTTGTCGAGATACTTGAGGAACTTTCGCAGATTCTTCCAGCTTGTCTTTTTGATTTGCAAAGAGGCGGTTCGCGCAGGAGTGTAGGTGGGGAGAAAGGGCTGGACGAGTTGCGACATGACATGTGACTGAGACAGAGGGAATTCGAGTCCATAGGTAGGGTGCTGTTTGTTGTGGTCCATGTGGTAGCGCACTCCAAATAGAAAGGCGTTTTTGAAGGCATCGTCGATTTCTGGACATGGTTAGCTGTGGGGTCTGAGATGTAAATCTAGCAAGGGTACCTTTTGTCGTCAGCTCCTTGTCCTCGAGCGTGTCGATGAAATCAGGGTTCGAGGGTGCGTCTTCGCCCTGGACAGCGTCGAGGGTTTTGGGTGGAGAAGGGTCAGCGGGGGTGGTCCCGAGTGGGATGCCGCCGTCTTGATCATCGTCGCCGTCGAGATGGATAGCGGCAGCGCGGTCCGCGAGGGAAGCATCGTGGGATGTGTCGGTGTCCCAGCCGTCAATGGCGTCTGGGGGGTCGCGGCCCGGCTTGCCTGCTGTACTCCAGGACCACAGCTCGTCACCTGCCCAATGGATCGTGGATACGGCATGTCCCTTTGTGCCTTGAGTGCTTCCCAGAGCACTGACATCGACGATGCACTCGCCCACGGCCATGGGCACAGATGGGGCCTCGAGGCTAGCAATGGCAACAATAGCGCCTTTTGTGGCATGTTTGGGGAAGGGAGGGCCTCGCTGGAGACCGGGCGTCATCAAGTCGGCGCCCTGCTTGAGCTTGTCGACGACGAAGAGCGGGGTGTGCAGCAGGGGAACGATAGCAGGGTTGTGCCAGAGCGTGTAGACGGTGGGGTAGAGGCGGTCGCGCAGCTTGAGCCAGAGGACGCGTTGGTCGCCATCATCGTGGGCGCCGACATAGAGAGTGCCAGTGACGGTGCTGAGGTCTGGGCCGGCCGTCGTGGTAAAGCGGGCAGACTGGGCATTGTCGGGCAGTATAGAGCGTCGCAGGGCGGTGAGAGCGGCGGCATCATCAGTGGGCGTGTCGATGGCAAAGTCTGCGATGATCTGGTCCGCTGTCCTGCGCCGGTCGCTCGACTTGAGCGGGGCGAGGGGCTTGATCTGGGCGTTGTCAATACGTGTGTGTATACAAGGACTGCAGGGCGACACTTGCATTGGGTTTCTTCTTAAACATGCTCAATCAGTGGCCGTGTAATGTGCAGGCGACGAGGGGCGGCGACATGAATGCGTATGGGTATGTGTGTGTGTGCGTGTGTGCGTGTGTGTGGCGGGGCACACCTGCACTGTGCAATGACGCTGCGCGGGCTGCTGCTCGCCCAGGACAAACGACGCAGGGGCAATCGACTATGCATATGCAGATACGTTGACCAAGTGCATGTGCGTGGCCTGGCAACAAAGAAAGAAAAAACAAAAACACCAAGGCCGGCCCCTATACAAGCAGCGAGGCCCCCAAAATGAAGGTTGAGGAAGTAATGCTCATGACTGCCATGGCCCAATCCTGCCCTCCCCGCATCCCAGTCCCAGCAGACTGGCCAGGCCGCCGCCGTTGGCACCGAACCCATGTCGCCCATCCGCCGTGCCCCCCCAAGCTGGTATGAGAGTGTGTTGTCTATGGATGGAGTAGGTTAGTAGGCCTGTGTAGTATACAGAGATACGCCATGTAGTGTACGACAGGTACCACCACATCCATGTATGTGCGCTACCTGAACCCTCGACGCACCGTCGCCCCTGTGCCTGTCTGTGCCTGTGCTACACTCGACACGTCCACACACTCTCTCCAACACATCGACACACACACCACACGCCCTGCTGGTCATGCCCTTCGCCTCCGTCAGCACTGGCTCCAGTACCGAGTAAGATCACATCACGGCCAAAAACTCTGCACGCGCTGGCCCGCCCAGCCAGGCCAGGCAACCCACAGCACTAGCCCACTATGCGCACTCGGCCCCGGAGCCTCTGTGCCGTCCATCCTCCCCAACTGTCCATGGAATCGTGCGGAGAAGCCGCGCCACAACAAGGCCAAACTGCTCCTGTTTGCTCCTGTGCTCCCTGACTCCCTTCCCGCCCTCATAACCCCCCTCGACCCTCGCTCTCGCCCTCTGTCGACTCGCCCTCTCCGCCTCAGCCATGGTAAAAGTGTTGAGCCCCATCTGTGAAGCCCTACGCCGCGTGACATCACTGCTCTCTTCCTCGGCTTCCGCCTCGGCTTCCCGCCTCCAAGATTGAAATTTTTACACCAACACCATGAGCCCCCTTCCAGACATGGCCTGGCAGGAGAATCACGTCGTCCCCAAGCCCACCGACCGCGAGGAGCTCGTCCTCGAGGCCTGGGCCCAGGGCTACCTCGTCGGCTCCCTCATCATCATGGCCTTCATCACCCTCGCAAACATGCGCAGAGGCGTCTTGTTGCACAAGGTCAGTCCACACTAAAAACTGCGCCCTCCCCAGATACCTCCCGCGACTTACTAATATTTGGCTCCAGTTGATTCTCCTCGAAGTAAGTTTCCACGTCTTTTGATCCTGCGCTCCATTTTATAAGGCGCCCCACTGACCAATTACCCACTCAGCTCATTCTCGGCTTATGGCAAGGCTTCTGGTTATTCTTCCCCACCCCTGTCCACGCCTGGTGGCTCTCCGTCGCCGCCATCTTCCTTAATGCTTCGTGGTCGCTGCATAATGTCATTGCCTGGATGAAGATCAAGCCCTTCTTCTCAAAACCCACCAGCTACATCTTCATTGGCACAATCATCCTTGCCCAGCCATACTGGATCCTCGAGATTTACGCAAACTTTGCCTACTTCCACGGCGTCAACAGGCTCTTTCTCAGCACCAGGCCCTATGAGGCTCTCTGCCGCGACCCATGGTGGATCTTGACCACCATCTACCTCTTCTGGGTCATCAAGACCCAGTATGAACTCAGCATCAAGGAAATCATACGCATCTCTCCGCGCTTCGGCATCATGCTTTTCTCCATGGTTCTTAGCATCATCTTCATCATAATGGACATCTTGTCTGTCACCGGCGCGCTTTCTCTCCCAGGCCCTACGGGAATCAATCCTTTCTGGAAATTCGCCTTTGTCTTCAAGTGCTTGACCGACTCGGTCGTCCTCGACGATTTCAAGGTCGCCTTGGATCGTCTCCGTGCTTTCCGAATTAGCCGCTTAGGTAGCTTCTCCGGAGACATGAGCGACAGCCGTAGCCGCAACGGCAACAACCTCGTCGCCACCTGGGAAGAGATGGAGAGGGAGGCCAACGCTCTACAAAATGTCCGCAGCCCCGATGGCGACTATATCCATCCCAGCAATTTCCCCTTCAAGCCCAAGCGCGCTCGCAGACCACACAAAGACTCCATCATGTTCCCCAACCAACCAGACTATCGCGACTGCAACGCCGGCCTAGACCCCGAGGACATTGTACCCAGTGCCCTAGTCGATGAGCCTACAGGGCCATTGGACAATGGACATCCCGGGAGCAAGAAACAGCATCACTTCGTTGACGACATGTATGGCCCTGATGAAAGACACAGGGTTGCCGAGAACGATTATGCAGAAGCAATGAGAGATATGCACCGCGATAGCCTACTCACGCCCGCACCAGCCCCAGAGTCTCCGCGTAAATTCGGGCCTCACGGTTGATGGAGGTGCAAAATTCATTGTCATGTGACTGCCGATCGAGTCCTTGGCATCCTTTCAACCCTAACCCGCGCACGAGTCTCGGTCCAAATCCAGCCTAGTCCGCATCTAAGCATGCACTCGTCGGCATCCCGACTCACTGGATGCCACCACAGGGCCCGACTTGATTCCGCTGCAGTCTCAAAGCGGGGTACCAGCCCTAGCCTTATCACCACAGCGCGCGACGAGGCAAATATCTCAGCCCTGGGGAAAAATAATCAACCAAGAATATAAGTTGAATGACGATATACGTTGTTCCTCAGTACCGCCCCTCGAGACTGCCCCTCTCAACACACACACACACACACAACAAAGACCACCAAATGGCATCATGCGCGTAATACCAGGCCTCGGCCCATCTGCAACCAGGCAGCTCATTTTACTCATATACCCATTTGCTCTTTTTTTTGTTAAATCAAGCGCCCATGTCAACTTCATACATATATATATATATATACATGTATAAATCATGTACTTTGTATCTATAGAGCTTATGTAGTTCATACCGCATGTAGCACATGCAGTTGCTTAGACACTAGCAAGACGCATGAAAGTAGAAAAGATGAAAAAAACACGTTAAATTTCAAACACCTTGTGCAATGCACACTCATATCTTTGAATCAAAAGTCCAAAAAGAAAAGTGAAAAAGAAAAGGGTTAAAAAAGCAAGAACCAGAGAATTAGTTGCTTTGATGCCCCGTTTTCTCTCAACCGTCCTAGTACTAACCTCCTTTTATTCTCCCATGAACCACTCGCAAAAATCAATCATGCTAACTCGACTCTCCTTTTCCAACTCCTGCACGCACTGCCGCGGCGACATCACCCGGCCAATCGTCTGCATCTCGTCTCGCCACTGCTGCACAACGCCTGCCCGGGGATCCGTATGCACGAGATAGAAATGACGATAGTCGCGTCGCATGTCGACGTGCAGGCCTGCATAGTAGCGCATCATGTTTACATTGGCTGCAGCCGGGTCACGTTTGACTGTTTTGAAGTACGTGACTGGCTCGCTGTCTGCGATTATGCGGCGCTCTGACAAGATAGGGAATTTGTCGGGGACGCGGCTGAGGGGCTCGGAGGGGTGGTCTTGCTCGATGTACTGGGTCTCGGCGAGGAGAGTGTAGAGGCGGGCACGGCTGTTGTTCCTGTTAGCTTGGATTCACGAAATGAAATCACGACAGGCGAAACAAACCTCTGCATTTCTGCGTCGCCGCTGTCGACCCTATTTGCGTACTTCTCGCAGTAATCAAATAGGTACTTCATTAGTTCTGGGCGGACGCATAGACGCCAGAGCAGATTTGCAGTTTCGACCTGGCGTCCCAGACTCGGCATGCCCTTGTACTGCTTCAATTTTTCAATTTTCGCAAAGAACAGCTCGATGATTTTCAAAGCGACTTGCGGCTCCTTGTCAAATACCTCGTCGGTAATGTAAATGAACCCGCCGACGGGGAAGATTTCCACCGGACCATAGCGGTACACGGGTGGATCAAGTGACAAGGCAGGATCGTACTCGATACCTTCCTGCATGCCAAGCGACCAGACACGAACTTCACGACGGAACATATCGCCCAGGCCGGGTAATTCGGTGAAGTACTCGAAATCAGCGTGTACCTGGTATAATTAGTATACCTCTGTTAGACGTCCTGCACGGCAACCTACGATAATGACGCCAGACCCTCCGCTCTTGATTTCCTGCTGGAATTTCGCCCATCCGCCTGGAAAATGCACACCACTGACCTCGACGTGGTGCATCAGCAGCCATCGAGTGATCAACTCGAGCTCTTCCGCATGCTCTTCCGAGTGGTATACCAGGAAAGCTCGTCTGTCCATTAGCTTAATCCCTTTCTCACAATTATTACTGCCAAATAATTCTTCAAAGTTGAGATCGCACACTGATTCAATCCTCTTTCGCACCTTCTCACATGTTGCTTCGCGTGCATCAAGTTCCACGGGCTCCACAACCTCGGGCGACTGAGGACGAGGTACATCGTCATCTGTAGGCGCTAGGGCCTCCTTTGGTACCTCGACAATAGCCCCGGAATCTTGCAGAGTCGCCTTATCCGTAGACACTTCGTTGCTCCTGTCTGGCAGAGGACTGAAAGAAGATCTAGGGTAGTAATGCGGAGCACGAGCAGGAATTCCAGTATTATAATGTTGGAACTGGCAATTCTCCGCAGTGTTTCGACAAGTTTCATTGGCCCAGTACCAGCATGTCAAATCCTGAGGGGCCAGCCTTTCCATGCTTTTCACTGGCTTTAGTGCACTATTTATTCGCTCATCGTGCGGCTTCGCTGATCTCGATGCAATTTCTGTCCGCTCATTGTGCGGCTTCACTGGTTTCGGTGCAACTGCTGTTCGCTCGTATATCGGCTTTATATTCTTGTCGATTCGAGTAGCGTTCTCGCTAGAGTGATTCTCGTTTGATACCCAACCGGTATTTCGGTGGGCAAAAAGACACTTGTCAGCTGGCTTGAAACAGCCAGTGTTCCCATACAGCCAGTGAGTGCATGTAAGAGGTGGCCTGCGATATTTCGGGGCTATCAAACCTCCAGCATGGCCTACAGGGTAATCCCGTCCATCTGGGTCCTTGTTGCAATGCATAAAGATACAGACCTGAGCAGTCTTTGGACAATTGTTGCTGAGACGCCACAAAGCACACACCTGCGGGATCTTGTCCGCCTCCCAGGGTGCTAGGGGAACATTCTCGTCAGTCAAAATCTCACTCCTAGACCCTCGCCGATCATCATCACGCTCTGGACTCCTTGCACGGCTCTGGCCAACCTCGCGGCGAGCATAGGGATCATCACGTGGGACCGGGGGGTTTGGCCTGACGGTACCAGAAGGGTCATTTGCAATCTTGAGCGCTGCCAGATCAGGCGTGCCTTCGGTGCGCGACCGCTTTTGTGCCACTGCTCGGAAGTGTAAAGTGGAGAATGCTTTTTGGCCCTTTGTCCATTCATTACGCAACTGCAACTTTGGTTGATTTACCACCCTTATGGCACCACTACGTATCGCCTTGTTGGCACTTCCCTGACCAGCCGAGATGGTCGGTCTTTCTACAGAAGTAATTGAAGTATCAGAGGCACGAGCCTTTGGTGTTGCGCTGGCAGTTTTTGCTTGCTGCTGTTTAGATGTTGAAGGAGGAGCATTAGCTTCATTAGCTGACTGCAATGAATTGCGTCTTGATTGACCATCACTAGCTGAATCCTTGGTGCCAACTGAACTGCGTGTCGTCTTTTTCGAAATTTTACCCAATTCAGCCATCATTGAGTCATCTGTTAAGTCTGCCTCGGAGGATGATAGGTCTGACTGCACCAAAGGTGGTTTACGCTCTGGTTGAGGTTGCTTGGCTGATGATGAGCTGCGAGTACCGGCGGCGGCTAGTTGTGGAAGGTTTTGTTTCTGCGATCGATTTGATGCGGCACGCCTATTTTCCTCTTCGCTGTCCGATACAAAGAGTGCTGACCGTTTCTTTGAAAAAGCAAGCCTCTGTCGCTTTTTGTCGCGCTTTGCTTTTCTGGCCGCCCTGGCCGTTTCTGCAGCTTCGATTGCGGCATGGAAATCGTCTATGTTCTTTCGACAATACCTGTGGAAGTGAGGATCGCCCATAGACTTTTTACAATTATACCATGTCTGGAGCAATGGTGGTGTCCTGGATGGATTGTTGTCATCATCATCAGGAACTATAAAGGCCGATACGGGCTCCCAAGTGCCTATGAGGCTTCAGTAATTCGTGGATATGCACGTTGATGTGAGGAGGTGAGATTGCATAGCAGGCTACCATGACAAAAGGTCTTGAACAAGTTTATTTTACAAGGAGGCTTGAAATACTTACATCTTCACTACTCGTCAGCCAGCTTCCGACAAGGTGGAATGGTCAACTCACTCGTGAAGTGGATAGCCATCCCATTTGGTCAGGTACTTGATACCGCGGAAGGCGGGTTGGTGAGGATCTTCATCCTCCCAAATGCCCCACTTCTCGGCCAGAATTTCCTCGACTGCGTAGACTGCATCGTCAGCGGGCTCGCCTTCGACCGTCGATGTGATGGAAATGTCGTCGGCGTCCAAGTCTGTATCGGGTTGTGGAGACATGTGGCGGGTGGGTTCCTGATTGGTGGGGAGGCGCAACTATGAAATGCTGAAACGGCACGCAGGTGATCGCTGTGTGGGTGCAATTGGCCCGACACCACTAAATAGAGCACGCGGTCCTGTGCAAGGTGCAGCAGCAGTGGGCACGCGGAGAGAGAAAGTGAGAGATTATCTATGTGGCGTTTTGGGTGTTGAGCGATGAGGTGGACAAAACAAGCAAGCCAAAGCCAGTACCAGACAGGCACAACCGAGAGCCCCTGCGTTGCATGCACGGTAAGGACTACGTAAGTGCATAGGGAAGGTGAAGGTCGGGAATGTCACTAGCGGCTCGCTTACCTAAGACAGGCATGGGCTCGGGCTCGCTCGTTCGCTGGGGAGGGCGCTGGCTGGTGCTTGGTGGAGTGGAGCAACTCCAGGAGGCAGCGAGATACAAGCACCTGTCCACCACCACCGGCCCCAAAACACACGCCTCTCCTGCCTAGCCTGTTCTGCTTCTGCGACTCCCTCTTGGCTCTGCTTGCTAGTCTCCTCGACCACCTCACCACCAAATCCCTCGTGTCCACCCAACCGCCCAACCGCCTACCCCATCTTCCTCCCCGCCCACCGTCATAATGGCCAACGACGAATATGACGTGAGTGCCCGTCCGCCTGCAGTCGACAGTCTACCGCATCTGCTGACCGCCTGCCTACACAGTTTCTCTTCAAGGGTACCTCCAGGCCCCGTCATTGCCCTTAGACTGCCCCGCTAACCCCCGCAGTGGTGCTCATCGGAGACTCTGGCGTCGGTAAATCCAACCTTTTGAGCCGTTTCACGCGCAACGAGTTCAACCTCGACTCAAAGTCGACCATCGGTGTCGAGTTTGCGACCCGTTCCATTCAAGTCGACGCCAAGACGATCAAGGCTCAGATTTGGGATACTGCTGGCCAGGAGCGTTACCGCGCCATCACCTCCGCATACTACCGTGGCGCAGTCGGCGCTCTGCTCGTCTACGACATCAGCAAGCACCAGACATACGAGAACGTCACCAGGTGGCTCAAGGAGCTGCGCGACCATGCCGACTCCAACATTGTCATTATGCTCGTCGGTAACAAGAGCGATTTGAGGCATCTGCGGGCAGTGCCAACTGAGGAGGCCAAGCAGTTTGCGAGTGCGTATACCTGATATGCAGCTTCCGGCTGTCCACTCACATTTATACTAACCACTATTTGTAGGCGAGAACAACCTTTCCTTCATTGAGACGTCCGCCTTGGATGCCAGCAACGTCGAGCTTGCTTTCCAGAACATTCTCACAGGTAGGCGCCTCCCACCAAGCAGTTCCGAGAAGCATTGCCACTAACCTGACTCCCAGAAATCTACCGCATCGTCTCAAGCAAAGCTCTTGACCAGGGCGAAGGCAGTGGTCCAGTCCTGGGCAACGACCGTAAGGTGCTCGAAATCAGCAAGTCGGCCGACGCAGAGCAGAAGAAGGGATGCTGCTAGACGAACAACCCACCAGCCCAAACAGCAATGCTCCGCCCACACTGTCTCTAGCCCTGGCCCTGGCTGCTTCTGCGTGGCGCATGTTGTTTCGACCGGGACAAGGACGGTGCGCTCCCACGGCGGGCGATACCACGAATGCAATGTGCTACACGAGTCACGCAAATGCCCTCAAATTGGCGTCCAGGAAATCCCTCGCTTTTTACATGTGCTTTGTGTCTCTGCTTGTTTTCTGTTCGGCTAAAGGTGTCTTGGGGGAAGGAGGGGTCTCGATACTTGGTTTTGCCTGCCGCAAGGCCATGTTTTTATGATGTTTGGACGCGGAAGACGATAATGGAATTGACTGATGTGTATCTAACGTCTTATGCAATGACACTTCATGTTAGATTCTTTTCTTGCAGGTTCCACAAACATCCCATGTCACAATCGCTACTTGGAGGGATATACATGTCATAATCACTAACTGAAGAGATATATTCTTGTCCAAAATGAAGAAAATGCAAAATGTCTATTGATTTGGGTATGCTCGTCATGCTCATGAAACGCCTATACTCTTTCTACTACCATTCATATCATTAGGTCGCCATGTCTCTTCTGCCTTTGTCCCAGGAGGCAGGTACTGTGTACTCTGCTCAGACGTTCGTCTATATGCGGCTCCGCCCAGGCTGTCATCTCTCTTCTCGTCTCGTGACTCGGAAATGCCTGCCATGGGATACATTCCAGTTCCCGACATGGTCGACGGACTAGCCGTAAATGCCGCTCGTGACTTGACATCGGTCGCAAGCGGGAGAAGCGTGCCATGGTCCTTGGACTTGAGCGCTTTTGCGCGCTTGTCCGCCCTGGCGGAATCGTGCGTGCGGTCGTAGAGATACAGGCCGAGGAACGTAAGTACAAACCCGAACGCCTGTACTTTGGTCATCGGTTTTCCGAACCAGACAATGGCGAAGACAATGACGAAGACGCGCTTGATTAGACTCGCGACGGAGTATGTGACGGGAGAGACCATAGACAGTAGCACAAAGGCTACTATGTTTTGTCCAAAATGGAATGTTCCGTTGAAGAGAAACTCGATGAATAGGCGTCCGTGATCAAGAGCGTCGGGGTGATCTGACAGTTCAATCGAAGCATCGTGTAAAAAGTCAAAAATGAGCGTGAAGCCCTCGGACCACAACCAGAGAGGGAGGGTGAAGAGAAACGCAAGTCCAGAGGAGTAGCAGAGCAGATTGAGCTTGTCTGGCTTGGTGAATCGGTTGGGCGGGAGCCCGTCTTTCTCTGCGGCTGCGGCATCGTTGAAGATTTGCTTGGAAACAATGTTCTGCACTACGAAGAGGATCGCGCTGGCGAAGGCGGAAATCAGGCCGATGAAGTTGGCGTTGAAATCCGCTGAGCATGCTAGAACCACGCCTAGAGTGAGTGGTATCAGCGAGAGATAGGTAGGCAGTGAGTACTGGATCTTGAAAAAGATGCTGTATGCCATGACAGTCAAGAGCGGCGAAAGTCCCTTGATAGTGTGCACAAGGGAAACAGGTATTCTCGACGTAGCATCGGCGCTCAGTATATGTCCACCAATTTGAAAGCATGTCAGAGGCAGTGTGGCCATGACCAGCTCCCTAGAGGGCGGGCGGATTCCATATTTCAAAAAGGGCATTGTCTGTTTCAAGCGCGGAAACTTCCTGGCAAGCATGCCTAGTATCAGACACCAGCCAGACACAAACGCAAACTGCACAGTCGTGAGGGTAATGGGTTTGGGCAGCGCGGTGAGAATGGCCTTGGAGGACATGTTTGTGAAGATGGACGTCATGTACCAGGCGCCACACAGCACCTGCGCCTCGAGTTAGCGTTGCGTCATGTGTACCCTATGCGTGGGAAAGCATACAATGAGCTTTGGCGAGAGCGGTGCCTTGAGCGCGTCGGCAATCTCGTGGGCATTCTGGCTGACGCTGCCCTTGCGCGTGCGTATTGTCTTGAAGGCCTCGCTCAAGCTCTTCTGGCGTCCGTGTCTGGTCGAGGGGGCCGATGTCGAAGCATTCACCCCGCCAAACCTCGCCTCTTTGCGCGGTTGCCATCTATCTGCGGGCATCGTGCTGCCGTTGGCTTGAGCTGCATGGTTGGGGCTAGCTGACCGCGACGAGCTGAGGCCGTAGCCATGGTCTTCCTCGGGTGTAGGCATGAGATCGGGTTGGAAGGCGGGAAATTTGAAGGTAGCATTGGGACTGGGGTCCCGCGCCGACGGGGGCGACATGGTGACTGCGGAGCAAAGCGTCGTCGAGGGGAGTGAGGGAGTTTATCGTGAAAGAGTTCGTTACGCCATGGGTGATGAAAGGGAATCAAGCGTCGGGGTTACAGACTATAGGGAGCGCAATGCCGATTACATGTACAAGATGCTGAAAGTCGCGGGGCCTGGCAACGGTAGCGAGGGGGAGCGTGTACCGGGGATCTGGGCAGAGGATTGTCCCAAGAATAGGATGCGGTGTTAGAAAACAAGCGTCGCAATGGGTCCGTAATTAGCGGAGAATTGTCTGGCTAGCGTTCGTGATCCTCTCGACACGCGTCCAAAAGCGGTTCGGTTGATGGCTGGTGCAAAGCGACAGGGGGGCGGGGAGAGGCGACTGCTTGGCTATGCACCACCACCACGATTCGTCAGCCAAGCTCCGCTGCTAAAGCCTCCAACGTCTGTGTGGCTTGGTTTCCCTTGCTATAGAGGCATCGATTGTACTTGGAAAAAAAAGAGGAAAAAATAGCAGAAAACTCCCTTTCTGGTCTACTTCGAATGCATCGAGCGAGTCCAGCATTCATATCATGTTCGTGAATTTGAATCGACTGTCGTCATCGCTTCTACTACCTTCCTTCCTACTCCTGTTCCAACGGCCGCTAGCTACTCGAGCACAAAACGTCTCCATGTTGTCCTTCGGCGAAACATGGCACGTTCTTGGGCCTTTTCAGATTGGGACCAGAGGCACGTCATGAATGAGCACGCCAGTCTGAAAATAACCCCACCTACTAACGTTTTCCTAGAGGCTTCATGGGGTGCAGACCCACTAGAATATGCTGGCGGCTTTAGAAACCTCACTTATAATCCAGGCGCAACATTTCCTAGTGCCCTGCCAGCGAATGGGACTGCGTCGTGGAACATCACCAAGGCTAAGCAGATCCTAAGCACTGCTGGCTCGGCTAATGCATCTTTGAGCATCAGCTACTCAAACGTCGACTGGGACTTTTTAAAAGTCGTTTACGGATGGGCTGCCGTCCAGTATCAGGCCTGGGTGCGCGGCGAGATTGTCGTGGGCGGGAATGATACTCAGACTGTCATCTTACACACGGACTCTATCCTAGAGTACTGGATCAACGACGAGCACTATTTCGGGGGCGACTACTACAGCTTTCGGCATGCACCACCTGTATTGCATCTTACGCCTGGCTCACACAGAATTGATATTCGTCTGGTCCGCGACGTAAGAGCCTTTGGAGGTATTCTAGAGCCCACAATTGACGTCGTAGTCGACATACGACAAGTGACTGCATCGCTCGAACTTGCAAAGCCTGGAATTCTGATGTCTGACGTCGTAAATGGAAGGCCCGCCTCTACTATTGGGTCAGTATCCCTGAGGAATAGTGGGCAGGAGGATATTGAGATCCTGGGCATCCAACGGTTCATTGTCAGCTCTCAAATGCCCTTTGCAGAACGAGACATGACTGGTCAGGCTCCTTTCAAAGTAGGCTTAGACATCGCTGACCAGAGGGACCACATGTCCTCAGATAATCACACTACCTTCCCCATGACCATAGTTGCTGGTCAAACGAGGCCTGTATCATTCAATGTCCTTCCAGCGGCCATCAATACGTCTACCGCGGACTATGAGATAAAGTACAGGAGAGTTGGCAGCACTCACTCTTCGACACTCCGTGCTTCCCAGCCCCTTAACTACGTAGATCTTTATACGCCTCATAAGATTACATTTCTCCATCCAGGTGGCATGGTATCCTACGCTATGCTTCGGCCTCCTACTAGGAACGCAACTTGCTCATCTAATCATTTGAAACTACCGGTTCTTCTGCAGCTTCATGGAGCGGGTGTTGAAGCTGAAAACCCCATGGTTCATCATGCACTGGACCCCGTGTCAGACCTCTGCGCGTGGGTGTTGTTCCCAACAGGCGTTACTACATGGTCCGGCGATGACTGGCACAACTGGGGCTTTGCTGATGTTGAAGCAGCAATTTCGGCAATTCCAGACTGGATTCAAAATAACAACTGGACAGGCCCCGGTGTTGATGTAGATCGTTGGATAGTTTCAGGTCACTCGAATGGCGGCCAGGGGACTTGGTTCGCCTTGACACATCGTCCAGACAAGGTGCTGGCTGCGGCCCCGGTTTCTGGATACAGTAGTATCCAGAAATATGTCCCATACGAACTTTGGCAGGGCGCAGACCCCAGACGCAAAGAGATGATAAGCGCATCCATAAACAGTTATCGTCATGAATTGCTGATGCCGAACGTGCGAGGCATTCCTATTCAACAGCAGCATGGCGGGATCGATGACAACGTACCAGCATATAATTCACGCCTGTTAGCACAACAGATCCATCAGGAGAACGCTAACTCGAGTTTCAATGAGGTGGTTGGCTTCAGTCATTGGTGGGATGGTGTTATGACTACACCACAGTTAGTCAGCTTCTATTACAGCCAGACAAATAGCAAGGATGCCGTGCCTCGAAAGCTGAAGCAGTTCAGCTTCCTTGTTGGCGATCCAGGAGACATGGGTAGCAAAGGCGGGATCAGAGTGAAACATTTAGAGGATCCAGGACGATATGGAAGAGTCAGTGTTCGAGGGAACATTATCAAGACTTCGAATGTGCAAGATCTTGAATTCGATATCGCTCTCTGGAAGGGGTCGGTCACCATTGACCAGAAAAATTTGGAACTTTCAAATATGCCAAGTCTAGGAGAGGCAGTAGCCAGTGCGTACAAAACGACCGACGGTTGGACTCTTGGCCCAGTTGGGAAAGAAGTCGGACATCTCCAACGAAATGGCCGTCAGCTAGGTTCCATGACTGCCATTCTGCGTACACAAGGCTCTTTTATTATCCGTCATTCAGAGTCTACGACTGCATCACATATCGCTTTGCAGGTTTCTCGCAATCTCCACCAATACTTCAAAGCAGACACGCAGATTCTCCCCTCTATATCAAATTCGATCCCTCCAGACTCTTCTGGGAATGTCATTACTCTGGGTATCACCAGTAGTCTTCCGCCGTTCCATTCCAACTTTCCTGTCCATGTCGGTGAATCTGGAGTCACTGTTCGCGATTATCGTGGTCAGGAACACCAATATGGGAAGGAGGCCAGTGGTGCGGCGTTTCTGCGTCCACTTCAAGGCGAGCGACTGGAATTGGTTCTCTGGGGTTCTGACGAGGCAGGACTGCAGCAGGCGGCACGGATTTTACCCCTTATGACAGGTGTGGGGCAACCAGACTTTGTAATCTTCGGTGAAAGTGCAAGATGGAAAGGTATTGAGGGTGTGCTGGCTATGGGCTTCTTTGATTCCAACTGGGAGATCACTCCGGCCAGTGTCATTGACAGTGACATTGACACGTATCAGGCTGATGATTAGGCATAGTTTTGACACCATGGACTATGCGTGTATACAAGTACGAGATGGCACGTACGTAAGAAGCCACATACCTATTGTTGCTGTCTTCACTCTCCCTGTCCATAAATCAAAAGTAACTCCTAGATTCTGAAGACTATTTCTGTATTGAAATCAAATTTTCTTTCCAACTTATAATTTAGAGAAAGGAGTTTTTGAGTTTTAGCGCTGAAGAAGCTTTCTTAATTTCTCCTTATTTAACCGCTGCACTACTCCTAAGCCAATTACTGTATCTAGCCACTCTAAAAAAATCACTTACCTACTGGGCAAACATATAGGTACTCTAAAATGAGATGTACGTTATACAGTTAGCAGTGCTATTCGCCTAAGCTTTTCTTAGTATTTTTTAATTTTTATATACAACTCTTGTATATTACGAAGACATTTGGCATTAAAATACTAGTGTTTTTATCTCTTACAAATCTGTATAGTAGTTTTAAAGAATGGGAAAAGAATAAGAAAGTTACTTCAGCACTATAACTGAAAAATCTCCTTTCTCCAAATCAGTGCTTCGAAAAGAAATCAGTTTTAATTCTAAATTTGTCTTTAAAATATATAAAGGTACTTCTATAGCACTACCATTCCCTCCCTCTAAAATAAAGTTCTGAAGTTACCAACTTTCTTAAGTTCGATCGATGTTAGTTGAGTACCTATAGTTTCGTCCACCGGGTGCCACTGTATAGTTAATACAACAACTACCATTGTCTTCGCTGCTAGCGATCCCCTAGGCACTTGTACGGTAAGACTAGTACAGGTTCTAGCCTTGGCATGGAGTGAAAGTGAATGCGGAAAATCCCGCCATGACGCGCCTGCCTTCGCATTCACTGCGACTGATTTAAAGGCTTCTCTCGCCGCCACCCCACCTTCTTCTTTTCGATGTGACCTCACTGTCCCCCTCCTTCCTTTTGTGCCGCCGTGGCTCTCTCCTTGCTTCGGTACCTTCTGCCACCTAATCTGTGTACATTTGAGCTGTTCATCGTCGCTTCTGTATCTACCTTGGTCATATACGACGCCAACCAAGTCTCGACAGGCATCTGTCCCGCATCTTATCTGCACATTTGCCCCATTACCCCAAATTTGCTCCCCACCACCTTTCGGAACCGCAGTGTTGTCCCCGTACAGCCTGCATACTACCCGAGCTTTCCAGATCTATACCATCTAACCCCTCGCACACACGTTCAAGCGCCGCTGCCATGAGCTTCAATATCGCGTCCGACGGTTCGCCTACACCTCGCAAGGGTCCCACCCGGTTCCCAGTACCAAGGGACCTCAGAATCGACACTTCACCCGAGGCTTTGGGTCAGGCGGTAGGCAACTTGAGTCTAGGCGGCTATCCATATGCTTTGCAACGCGTATTTGGCTCAGCGTTGACTTCCAATACACAGGGCTTCAAGCGATCACTTGGACCTTCTGCTCTGGGCAATCGACCGCTTGTAGAACCGCACAATCCGCTCGATGGTTACAAGGTTCGTGATACTCATACTTGCCCCTTGGCGCATCAAACTTCCCTTCTGTACTAATCAATCTAATACATGCAGAAGTCCAGCACGGAAGCCGATGAGGATCGAGCCATAGTAGACTCAATGTTGCAGCGCTTCAACAGGCACTCTCCTCTCCATGATCCGTACAGTTCTTCTAGCGGCTCTGTTTCCCTTACTCCAGCCACGGAAGACTTCATGTCCACGCCACCCACGGAGATGGAAAACTCAGTTGTCCTGGTTGAAGCTGTCGAATTGCAGAAGCTGAAGCTTGAGCTACAGGAAGCTCGCAACGAAGTCAACCGCGTGAACCAGGAGATGCACAGCCAAAATGTAGCCCGATCAACCATGGAGCACCTCACCCAATCGTCCGAGCCTGATTATGGTTACTCAGACGACGTCACCGAGCAGACTCTCGCAACCCTACAGAACAAGTTCAACGCCTCGGCCCAAGGCAACTACGGCTGGGGCAATGGGCCTGCTCGTCCAGCGCACGTGGGCAGTAATGGATTCGGAGCTCCCTATCCGACCCAGGCACAAGTACAGACCCGGTCACAGCCATCACAGTCAAACTATCGCCGCACCGGCTACTTGAACGAGCCCACTCACTTTCCGCTTGACCAAAGCTTCCGCAGCACCAGCAGGACAAGCAACATCAGCAACGTAATGAATAGTGGTATGTCCAATAGTATGTATACTGGCTCTAGCAATGGCATGGGTATGGGCATGGGTGTGAGCAACAACTTGAGTAACCCGCCTACTCGTCCAAGCTCCGCATTTGATCCTGGATACAACCAATACGCTCTGCCGCCAATGTATCCTATTGGTCATCCGACTCCAATCGGCACCATTTCCAGCAACTTATCTGCGGACGCAAACGAGTTCAACTTCGCCAACAACATGGGATCTTCCCCGTGGAATACACAAGTTAGTCGTTGATTGTTTTTATACCCGGATTCTGAACTGACAATTGCTCAGGCCCAACCCGAGACTGGTACTACCCACTACGTTCCCCCTGTCGAGCCGATGAACTACCGTCGTCTGTTGGACCGCAACATGAGCTGCAACTGGAAGTATATTGTCGACAAGATCATCTGTAACAACGATCAGCAAGCTTCCATCTTTCTCCAACAGAAGCTCAAGGTGGGCACTCCGGAACAAAAGTACGAAATCGTCGAAGCGATCATTTCTCAAGCGTATGCTTTGATGATCAACCGGTTCGGCAATTTCCTTGTTCAGCGCTGCTTCGAACATGGTACACATGATCAGGTAATTGCCATCGCTCAAGCTATCCGCGGCAATACTCTTGCGCTGAGCATGGATGCTTTCGGTTGCCATGTTATCCAGAAAGCTTTTGATTGTGTCCCCGAGGAGTACAAGGCAACCATGGTCCATGAGCTTCTCCGTCGCATTCCTGAGACAGTAATCCACCGCTATGCTTGTCATGTCTGGCAGAAGCTATTCGAGCTTCGTTGGAGCGACTCTCCACCCCAGATCATGCGCTATGTCAACGAGGCCCTTCGCGGTATGTGGCATGAGGTCGCGTTGGGTGAGACTGGAAGTCTTGTGGTGCAGAACATCTTTGAGAACTGTCTCGAAGAAGACAAGGTATCTGCTCACGACGCATATAATATGTTAGTCATGCTGACCGTTATAGCGCCCCTGTATCAACGAGGTATTGGCTAGCATCGATGTGATTGCACATGGACAGTTTGGAAACTGGTGCATTCAGCACATCTGCGAGCATGGCGCGCCTGCTGATCGTAGTCGAGCAATCGAGCACATTCTTCGCTTTAGCACAGAATACAGCATGGACCAGTATGCTTCTAAGGTCATCGAGAAATGCCTCAAGATTGGTGGCAGCGAGTTTCTGGACCGTTATCTCGACCGTGTTTGCGAGGCTCGCCCTGACCGTCCGCGTATGCCTTTGATTGACAGTACGTAACGACCTATGTGCTCGTTCAATGCAAGAAAAGCTAATTTCGAGACAGTTGCGGGTGATCAGTTCGGCAACTATCTCATCCAGTACATCTTGACGAACAGCAGCTCTCAGCATCGCGAGCTTGTCGGTGGCCACATTCGGAAGCACATGGTTTCACTTCGCGGCTCCAAGTACGGCTCCCGTGTTGCGATGCTCTGCTGCAACCCCGCCCTTACTACGCGCCCCGGGCCCCCAGCTGGTATGCTTCCACGCTACGGCAACCCGACGTCGCGACCCACTTTTGGCTCTTTTCGGTAGATGTCAAATCTGGGACTCTAGATATCGCCGTCCACATATGTACCGTTGGGTATCATCAGCTTGTGCACCCCTCGCTCTCAATCTCGAAGAAGGTCTCGTGGATATGCTCAAAAGCTAAGATCAATGTCGAAAAAATTGTCAGATCGATTGGCTTAAGATGAGCACACTGAGCATGAATTGCTTTCTCCTGACAGAACATCGCTTGGTGGATATAGTTTATTGACCTTTATGCCTTTTCTTGTTTATCCTGGCATTTCCATTAGTCGTGGCGGCTTTGGTCAGATCAGCGAGGGAAGTCTGGGGCGATATGACGAACAGCGAACTGGATTGTGCGTACATAGTTATACTTCTTAATAAGCAGACTGAATAAGTGGGAATACGGTAGTGGTAATGTTTACTAAGGAATACATATGTTTTCCATTGAGTTGTCGAACGAACCCAGTCTCTGTGCTATTTGAAGTTTGTGATGCGGGAAGATCCTTGGGGCTTTCTTCAATGGAATTGGTTGATAATGAAGGATTTGTTTACCAAGTCAAGGGATGCAGTATGCTCGCTAAGTTTTCGGGTTGAAGGGTGAATATCGCAGTAGCTCGGGGTAAATATGGAGATTCTACGGACTTCGGCAATCTTCGGACGGGTTCGGGCAAGTGCTTCTTGGTTGATAACAAGATGTTTTGGACACCAAAGAAAAGGGCCATGAAAGGGAGACAATAGTAGGACATGATGAGCATATAGATGGCCTAGAAAGCAATTAGAACGATCAAGCCGCATGGCCGACTATGATCGTAGGGCGAGCAGCGGCGTGTCGGCAAGTACGGAGATGCCGCTTCGGCGCAAACTCTGAGCCGCACGCGACGTGCGACATGCGACGCGTTGCCGACATGGGACAGACCGGAAGCATGGCTTACATCCACTGCAGGTGCTTACTTTGCAGCTATTCTTGCGTCGATTTTGCAGGATACAGAAAACATACATTGATACATTCGGATATCAACGAGGAACGTTATCAATGAAGGCGGGCAATGGATGCAATTGCTATTTGCGGCCAGAAAGACACGCAGCAAGAGGCATATACCCGACAGTTTCTCGAGCCAAAGACCGCAGCTTGTCTCATCTGCGCAAGACAGTGTATGCATGCATTTGAGGTATCACGCATCAATGACCTGACCTTAGTGTGGCGTCTGTAATCGGGCCAGAAGATTTTTGGAAGGCTTGGGCTAGGCAGGGTCTGCCGAAAAGGCTCTTACCTCATCAACAGGGCCTAGCGGTGCCGGAAGCTCGGCGACGTCACCATGCTGTATGTGCCCTAGATTTGATCGCCGCATCATGTTTTAATAAGTCGCCGTAGACGCCGTTTTATTTTCGATATCACCTCACAGTCATCGATTCTTCAACAGTTGAACAACCCCTCATAACCCCTCCCATCTGCCTTACATCCATCAATCCACACGCCAACAACTCCGTTTTTTACCCAGCCAGACCATATTCATATAACTCGAGATGAAGGTTCTCACCAAGGAAGAGGAGCAGGCACACTACAAGTAAGCACGATCACAACCCTGCCGAAAACTTTGTGCTAACAAGCAGCAGTGCTACAGTTAAGGGTGGCTCAATCGGTGGTCTCATTGGCACAGCGGTAGGTGCTGCGGCTGTTGTGGGCGCAAGCAGACGCTACCACTCCTTCCGAGCCCTCACTGTGCCATTCCGCGCTTTCCTTATCGCTTCAACTGGAACCTTTGTCGGTATGTCCAAATTCAACAATATTCTTGTACTACAATATTTCAGGGTCTGACAATATAATTCAGCCGTCATCGCCGCCGACCGGGCTTCCGCACGATACGACATTGAACACACCCCCGAAAAGAAGCGTCAAATCGAGCGTGACCAGCAACGAGAAAGCCTTCTCGAAGCTAACAAAACTCCTTTCCAACGTGCGAAAGACTGGGCGACGGAGAACCGTTACCCGCTCCTGTTCGGCTTCTGGGTTGCTTCCATGGCCGGCTCATGGCACATGGTCAACCGCAATCCTTACCTGAGTGGGTCACAGAAGCTTGTGCAGGCGCGTATGTACGCCCAGGGTGGTACACTGGCTGCGCTACTAGGCAGCTTTGCCATCGAGGGTGCAGATGCGGCCAAGGGCAAGGGAAGGTGGGAGACCATCAAGATCATCGACCCCAACGACCCCGAGCACAAGCACATCATTGAGAAGAAGATCCACCACGAGAGATATGCTGGTGAGGACCAGTGGAGAGGTACGAGACTCGTATTCAATGCATGGAAGATAGCAAGCTGACTTGAGGACATAGAAATGGTCGAAGCTGAAGAACAGCGCCAAAAGGAGCGCGAGGCCGCCAAGGCAAATGGACAACGAGCCAAGCAGCAATAAGATGCTGCGAATAAGAAATACAAAAACCTCGAAGATGAAGAGCAACAACGGGCCTAAAGTCTTTTCGCCCCGGAGTCTATTCCTACCTGATCATCTCGGATACCTTCACCGGCCTGTTTAACGTGTAAATTTGTAGGGTTTCATTTTTCATGTTGGGGGGTTTGCAAGTTTGCAGGCGTTACAAGAAGCATTGATGCTATTTTCCTTTTCCTATATCTCATTATGGCTCATGTATGACTAGGTGGTATGCTCGTAATTGGCTAGGAATGCAGCGACGCATACCTTTAGAGCACACTGTACTTCAAAAGGAAGATTTCCTTGCGTTAATCTACTACTACATCAACCATGACAGTAGCCAATCAAATGATGGAATGCCCAAGAAGCAAATACTTCGAACACGGTTTTTTAGTAGTTTCAGGGTCCATGATGACGTCTACGCGTTTAGATGGAGGCACTACCATGCATGAAGCACGTCACTCAAATTCGCAACGTAGTTGATAAACATTGATACAACACGCTCGGTCCTCAATATTCTCGGTTCATATTTTGTATATTTTCCATTTTGGGTGCATGTATGCTAGTATCGACTTACTCTCAGCCTGTTGCTTACTGTCAACCCGGTAATCGATCAATATACAATACGACCACAATATTTTAGAAGAGATAAAAGGAGGAATAAGAGTCATGTCAGACTCGAATGTGATCCAGCTCCTCGACTCGATATCGCACAGGCTCATAACAGCCACTAGCCTTGCCCATGTGCCCAAGAAGCCTCAAGATACGCAACTGACGGCGACTATTGCAGATCTGCATGTCCACCCCACAATCGAAGCTCTCCTACATATTCTGAACCACGACCTGCCGTCTGCACACTTTCTTGTTCGACACATGCAAGCCCCGCCGGCTGTGGAGGGGATGCTGCTCCATGGCATCCTGCACCGGGCTGAAGGCGATTTCAACAATGCATGGGCATGGATAAGCGACGTCTCGGACGCGTGTGAAGGTTACCAGCCCAAACACAAGGACGAAGGCCAGAAACTGGATCCCGAGGTTGCCAAACAAGTCGGCAGCAACTCGCAGATATCTGGTTCACTTATCAATTTCGTTTATGGTGACGATGACGACGCCGGAGATCTCATTGATGCTGTTGAGGCTTTCCGAAAACAAAAACACGGCCATATGAGAGAGGAGGAAGAGAGGACGATTGAGAAGAGAATCAGAGCAGAGGCGGAGAAAGTGCTGGATTGGTGCAAGAACAAATTTGGTAGTGGGGTATGGCAGGATGCGACGAAGGCTTGGGTCAAGAATAGCGAGGAGATTAGCAAAATTAGTAGAAGTATGGTGAGTGATGGGAAGGGGTATAGGGACTTTTAATTTCAAAGGTGCATGATTGTCCCGGTATAGAGTAGGTAGCTCGAATCTCTGTCTCTAAATTAAAACTTACTCTTGGATTTTAGTGACTAATTTCGAACTGAAAATAATTTTCTTCCGACGCAGTACTAATTCGCAAGAAGGGTTTCCAAGTTTTGGTGCCAAAGAAGCTTTCTTAAAATCTTCTTCTTGTTTAACTACTGCACCAATTTTTGAGAGACAAAAAATACTGTATCTAGCCACTTTAGATAGCCTGTAGCAGCTAACACAACAACTATGAAATAGAGTAGGTAGTACTGTCCATACCAGACATTTAACACGTGACATGATCGTAATACCGAGCACAGCTAGTATCCCGCCGGTGCCAAGACTAACAAGCTGATCATGCCCTCATCCTGGCGACGTGACCCCCCCCCCTCCCCTTGACTGTTCCGCACTCCCTCTGGCTCCAATGGGCCACGGGACAACAGGCCATACGTCCATGTGTAAGATTATCTGGTTGCCCGCATGTCCGCAAGGCGTGCAGACGGGCGTGAGGACATGATGCAGCAACCCGTCATTTGTACAGCAACAACCACCGCGGCGAGCTAAGCGAGGGTCTGGCCAGGGTGCAACAGCGAATGGCGTTGGGGCTGCCCCCAGTAGGCGGTCGGCCTGTGACATCAACGGCCAGCTTTCACTTCTTACAACCCGCCATTATTCTTCCCGTACGCACGTGCAGCCCACGGCTGGACTGGAAAAACAGGTACCCATGGCCGACCAACTTCTCCAGGCCAACGGCCAGAGCCGCCCTAGCAACGTCAAACACCACACTTCACCGTCTCTCATGATGAACTCGCACTTTGCGGGCGTGGGCGACAATGCCGACAAGCAGGCCTACGAGCATGGCATCCAGGTCATTGACGAGGACAAGATGTTCAAGTATGTCATGGCACCCAAGGCATCGTCCTTGCTGCGGGGCAAAATGCTAATGTCTGTTTACAATACAGCGGAAACCTGTCTTCATACCTCAGTGTTGAAAATGTCATCCCCGCCGGCTTCAACTACCACCTCATATCTGTCTTTGGCTCGCAGTCAACGGGCAAGTCGACCCTTCTCAACCACCTCTTTGGCACCCAGTTTGGTGTCATGTCGGAGCAGGAGCGTCGTCAAACCACAAAGGGAATTTGGATGAGCAAGAATAAGCGTGAGGCGGGCGGCTCGGCCATGGCAGAGAACATCTTAGTCATGGATGTCGAGGGAACAGATGGTAGGGAGCGAGGCGAGGACCAGGACTTTGAGCGGAAGAGCGCCCTCTTCGCCCTGGCCACGAGTGAAGTCCTCATTGTCAACATTTGGGAACACCAAGTTGGATTGTATCAAGGTGCCAACATGGGTCTGCTCAAGACTGTCTTTGAAGTCAACTTGCAGCTTTTTGTCAAGGACGGCCAGTAAGTATACACTGACTGGATTTGACTGTACTCTTGCACTGACAACCCCACCAGGTCGAGTCCAAAATCACTCTTATTCTTCGTCATCCGCGATCACATCGGCGTCACGCCCCTCGCAAACCTACAAAATACCTTGATACAAGACTTGTCCAAGCTATGGTCGACCATATCGAAACCCACCGGTCTCGAAGCCTCGCGGATAGAGGACTACTTTGACTTCGCCTTTGTCGCACTACCACACAAAATCCTCCAACCAGAAAAGTTCGAAGAAGCAGTCACAAAGCTCAGCACACGGTTCAAGGAAGGATATAGTGACCCAAGGAAGAGCGGGCTCATTGATGAAACAACCGCACCCATCTTCCTTCCTCAATACCATCGGCGAATCCCTGCCGATGGCTTTCCTGCGTACGCAGAAGGTGTCTGGGATCAGATCGTGAGCAACAAAGACTTGGATTTGCCAACTCAGCAGGAACTCTTGGCCCAGTTCCGGTGTGACGAGATATCTAGAGAAGTCCTTGTTGCCTTTGACGAACAAATCACGCCCCTCGAAGACAAGCAAGCTGACGCCGCTCGGGCAGGGACATTCTCGATCATCCCTGACCTTGGACCCATCATGAACACTGCACGAACAAAGGTCCTCAAGGATTTTGACACCAATGCAAGCCGATATCACAAGGGTGTCTATAAGCGAAAACAGGCAGATCTCGAGGCCAAGGTCGACACGCGGTTGAAGGCTCTATTCCAGAAGCAGCTCACGTCAGCCCACAAGTCTGGTGTGGAAAGTTTCAGCGAAGCCGTTAGCGTAGCAGTGAAGAGCGGTCAGAAGAAGGGAGGATCGTATGACTTTGCGCAGATTGTCGACTCTGAAAAGAAGAAGGCTCTTGCCAAATTCGAAGACGATGCCAAGGCAATGGCTATCGGAGCGGCAAGCTGGAGCAACTACGAGAATGAGATGAAGATCTTCAAGAAGGAACTAGAAGATGTCTCTAGTCGCCTTCGCAAAGAGGAGATGAGGCGCCTAGCCACCAGAATTGAGCGCTGGGTACGCTCACGTTTGGATGAGTCCGTTGGTCTTGAATTCAACAAGCTCGGATCTGGCCGGGGTGGTTCTGGTGCGCCTGAGCATGGCGATCGACCTCCTACTGAGAAGGATCTCTGGGACCGGGTCTGGAAGATATTCACTGATACCGTTTCCAGCGCAGAGAAGCGGTTCACTGATCGAGCCTCCAGCTTCGACGCTAGTCCTGAAGAGGTTGAGGTCGGTCTTTGGAGACTGCGACGCAAGTCTTGGGCTGTACTTCGTGCCAAACTTGACGAGGAAGTTATGGAGGGCAACATCCTGTTGAAGCTCAGGGAAAACTTCGAAGACAAGTTCCGCTACGACGACCTCGGTGTTCCCAGAATATGGAGACCCACAGACGATATCGAGGGTATCTACACCAAGGCTCGCGAGTCCACAATCACTGTTATCCCACTCCTCGCTCGCTTCAAGCTTGCATCAACTTCAAAAACTCCTCCGCTTGATGAATGGATCGGCGAAGCACCAGCTTCAGTGACTCCAGCAGACGAGGACGATCTGACTCCCATCGGCGGTGTAGACGATGAAGAGGGCAAGAGTCTGGAAGAGGAGATGACCATTCTGTCTGACGCCAAGCAAGCTGATCTGCTTGTCCGCTTCAAGAAGACCGCGGATGGTGTATACGTCGAGGCCAAGCGCAGTGCTATTGGCGGCATCACTCAAGTTCCACTATACTTCTATGGTCTTCTCCTTGCGCTTGGTTGGAACGAAATAGTTACCGGTACGTTTGTTACTACTCCTCTGGTTCTTATTTTCTCTAATACTGACACAATTCAGTTCTACGCAACCCAGTGTACTTTATCTTTCTCATTCTTATGGGTATCGGTGCCTACGTTACCTACACGCTTAACCTATGGGGCCCCATGGCACGCATGGCCAACGCCGCCTCACAGCAGGGTCTTGAGGTTGGTAAGGAGAGGCTGCGCTCTTTCCTTGAGAGCTCAGATGCTGGTCGTCAAGCCATGGCTATGAGCAGCTCGAATGAGACTCGAAGATACGAGAATGTCCGCATGGACAGGTTGAACGGAGATGGCAAGAAGAGCAGTGCCGAGGTTGAGGACTTGGACGATATCTGAAAGATCAAACATAGGCTCGAGTTCTTCTCTGGGCTAGACAGTGTTGGAGTTCAATGGCACGGATTGCAGGTTTTTGATGATGTTGCGCTAAGGATTTGTCAATGAGCTTTCCCACGTGTTCCGAAGGCGTAGCAAGGGAATGCAAAAAGCGAAGTTGCTGTCTTGTGCTGTCTTGTATAGTTCTAGATCGTGTTCTTCATTCAGTATGTGCATGTCCTTCTGGTAGCCATTGTCGTTGCGATTAGTTGCGTGTGACTGTCGTCTACTAAAGCCCAAGTAGCAATGGAAAAGGTGTTCAAGGTATATCTCTTGGTGGTCCTTCATCATACCCAACGACCATCAACCTCTCTTCCATAAGTGCACATACACAATATGTAAATGACCATCTCTCCAAAAGGCATTCCTTCCCCCTCACACCCCAAACTTCCTCGGATCCAAACTCTCAATCCGCGCACTCCGCGCCTCGCCATCAAATACAATCTCACTCAACAGCTTCCCCGTCCCAGGCCCATTCTGAATCCCCCAACACGTATGTCCCGCTCCCATCAACAAACCCTTTACACTCGTCTTGCCCACCAGCGGTCCCCCACGCTTCATATTCGGCAAATAACACGCCTGCCTCGCCGTCACCTCTCCATCCCTCAGCTCCTCTGAAACCGACGAGACCTGTTCGATGATGTCCTGGCAGCGACTCTCATCACAGTGTACGAGATCTGTAGAGGCGGGTAAAGGGACGAGTGTATCGCCGTCGCCGCACGCGTAGACTTCTTGGTTGGGCCTTGCGTAGATTTCTGGGGTTACTGTTCCGCTGCGCGGCATGTCGATGGCGGTGAAGAGGGCGTAGGCGGAGACGGGGCGGGTGGGGCGGATGGTTACGCTGTGGGCGCGGAGGGGGTAGATGGGTGTGGGTTTCCAGACTGCTTTTGTCCAGGGGCCTGCAGTGAGGATGATTGTGTCGGCGGGGAGGCTGCATTCTTCATCTGAGTCTTTGGGTTTGTAGGAGACGGAGGTTACGGCTCCGTTTTCTTGGGCGATGTTTGTTGCGGAGCCGTAGAGGATTTTTACGCCGTTTTCTTGGGCGAGCTGGGCCATGCTTGTTGTGAATTGGTAGGGGTGGACTTGGGCGGTTGTGGAGGGAGTGCCCATTTCTTCGTAGGCTTTTATACCTTCTGCGGCGATCCAGTCGAGATCTTTTGGTACGCCGGCGGCTCGCAGCAAGCCGATTGCTTTCTCCGTCCGCTTCTGTAGACTCACATGATCTTCTTTGGCTTTGCTGTCTGCGTCGCCTTTTGCGCTCTTTTGCTTTGCTAGAACACCGAACATATCGATTTGGCCGCAGTGTACAGCTCGATAGCCCCAGCGATTAGCTCCATCGTGCTTCTCAGCTAGTTCTTGATGCAGCTTATAACTCAATGGCACAATGCAGCTGGGATAGGCCCATAGTCCCAATAAACCACCGGCTTTTCCCGAGGCGCCACCGGCGATTTTGGTCGCTTCGAGAAGGGTAATTGTATCTCTTTCTCTATCGAATTTTGCATGCTGCGAGAGAAAGTATGCTGTCGTTGACCCAATGATACCGCCACCTGACAAGAGACATCAGCCTCGGATTTCTGTGGAAATCGGATGTCAGGAACAAGTACCGATGATGACGATGTTTTGTTTTTGCTGCTCTGTTGCCATGGTGGTTAGAAGGCGCGATGGTGCCCTAAGCATGTGATGATGGTTGGTAGGAAGTGTGGCGTTGATGGTGTTGCATTTTTCGGCGGCTAATAGACCGATTACAAAGGTACGTCATGGTTATTCCTCTCGCAATAGGCTGCAAAGTGCCCTATTAGTTAGGTTCAAATTCGATTACGAAAGAATTATACTAATAAGATTAACTAGTTGGAGTATCTAAGAGACGCACAAGGGAATGAGAAGGTAGACTTCTTGCAACGGGGTTTAAAAATCCCCACCCATGTCGCCCATATCGCCCATATCTCCCCCATCGTCTCCGCCCATATCATCGCCGTAGTTGTTCTGAACATACGTATCGCCATCGTCTCCCGCCATTGCTGAGCCTATGAGACCACCAGCGAGCAGACCACCTCCCGCTCCAAGAGCCATGGCCCCCATACCCGGCCCTCCTCCAGGGCGCCTGCCGCCACCGCCCATAGGCATCATTCCACCACCCATCGGCCGTCCGTAGCCTCCTCCACCATAGTAACCTCCTCCAACAGGCTGGCCGTAGCTTGGCTGGCCATATCCATGGTGTTGCTGTGAGTAACCAGGCGACGGTGAGTGTGACGAGCCAGAAGCCTTCCCAAGGATCTTGCCTAGGAAGCCTTTGCTCTTACCGCCCTTGTCCTGTACGGCTGCATCTTGGTATTGCCCTTGTTGGTACGGATTTGGACTTGGCTGGCCATAGCCGCCGTATTGTTGTGGATGCGACTGGTTGGATTGGTTGTAGTAGTCATTCGAGGCACCTCGTGCGCGCGCTTCTTCCTCTTGTTGAAGTTTTCTTGCGAGTTTCTCATCTTCACTGATGTTGGCATACGGGTTGTTACTACCCAAGCTTCCCTTCTCGCTCCCGCCAGTCGGGAAGCCGCCTACTGCCCCACCAGCTGAAGGTGAGACATAGTTGGGAGGTGCGCCTGGAGATGGCGCTTCACCAGGAGGGTAGACGGGCTGCGTTGGCTTCTCCCATTGCGACTGCTTCGTATAAGTGTTTACGTAGAACCACTCGTTGTACTGTGCGTTCCAGACGGCCTTCCAGCCTTCAGGCACATGTGGCGGGGGAGGGCCCTGTATACACTATCAGCTGTGTTCATGCATTGGCCTAACTACACTTACCGGCGGAGGTGCGAATTCTGCCATGTTACGTGGATGGTAGTGCTAATACTAGGATGGTATTTCGACCTAGTGTGCAGAAGAAACGGTGGGCTGGGATATCCAGAGATTGTGGCAGAGTAAGCTGTGATCCCGCAATGATGGGCTGATGGCCCGCGGCGCTCCGTGTGAGTGCGACTTTCAATACAGTGTGCGTCATTGTGGCGTGGCGATTAGATGATGAGCCAAACACCTGCTGAGCCACATTGCGCGATTGGGATGACGATGCCAGTTTCCCTGAATACCATGGCACATGATTCGTAGTTTGTGCGCATTCGTCTGCACGCGAACTCTCGAAGTTGCAAGGGATCTGGATGAATATGATGTCATTCCGGGCCTGGTATGCGAACATGTATCATAAACCTAAAACCTACCCATGATTCTAAGCCACGGTACTAGAACATTGCTCCCGACTATAAGATTTTGATTCTTAAGTACCCAATATTCTTATGCAGCAACATGGGCCGATTTATGCGGTCTTCTCAAAGTCGCTTTGTATGCATCCTGCAATATTGGCGATTACTGTAGTGATCGGGTTGTTCCGTTGCCAATAAGATACTTGTCGCATGGTACAATTAGCCCAAGTCTTGGTAGAGCTAAGACACTACTCAAGAGGTTAATTTGGTCCGCGACTAGCAACAGACCTTACAGCAGGCTCATTGCCGATAAGTCACACCTTCACCAACGATAGCGAGAACGCCATCCAGATGTCGGCACGTGCGGCGACTAGTTCTGGAACAGCCCTCGCATCTTCAATCAGACATACATACAAGGAGTAAGCTTTATGTAGGACTTGTGTCACAGGCAACAGAAACACATGACGGGCAGGCCGTTTGGAAAGCGGTGTTTAAGGCGGCAGGAAATGGTTCCTGTATCTAGCTTATCTGTGCATAATATGAACACTCTCAAGTCGCCCTTTCTAATCGCCTCCCTCTTTGCGTATTTCTAAAGGAAGATGGTCTGGTCTCTTTGACTTTGTGTTGGTTGATCCAAGGCGGTAAAGCTGTGGGGTGATGACGTGCACATCCGCAAACAAAAATGCTAAGACAGTTTCAACAGTGTCTAATATGAGTGGTATTAGCGTAGTAGTTACAGGGATCAGCAATTGTTACGACTACTTTCACTTGGCAGCTTTAGTATTTGTTCCGGTTCTTTTTCGTCAGAGGATATGCATATCCTAGGGCGTGGAAATGGTAACGACATGTCAATGGTTGTTCTGTTACCTCAGCTGCTGAATTGTCCAAATGAAAATTAATATCGCTCTTGGTGATTTTCTTTGTGAGCTATGTATCGACGTTCCTATTCGCTAATTTTTGGCTGCAACTGGGGCAAAACGGCACTCTAATGTTGGCGATGAATATATCCCATGGCGAACGCATATGCAATTGTCTTATTAGAAAATGATGAAAAAGGATACGAGTGCCGAGGATGAAGTACGCAGCACAACACTGTTAGTGTATCAATGGGTTAAAGTTAGCAACAACATTGAGGCAAGAGGTAGTATCGAACAGCACGCTTACCCAAGGCCGCACTAGAACATGCAGAGACGCACTGAGCTGAGCCACCATGCATGTATACCGCCATGTACCTTGTTCTCGAACACTCTGGCCAACATTCCTTCGTATGAAATTCCAGGATCCGCGGTTGCGTATACGATTTGCCGGTACATGGAATGACGCGACTAAAGTCGAGTCAGACAGTCTCTTCAAGTTCGGTTTTTGTATTAGTTCAATCGGTTGTCCTGTCGTATATCCGCGATCCCATGCCTTAGTAAGAGACAGGTAATAAGAGAGTGGATCGAATCGTGTTGTCTAGGCGTATAGAGGCAAAGGCGCCACAAGAAGTACCACATCGCTTTACCTGAAAGAGAAGGAAAGGACCAAGCGTTGTTTTCGACACATGTGGCACAGGAAACCGACCCCACAGCCTCGGTCCGGTGTGCACGATATTGCAGGTATGGCAATATACGGACTGACGCAAGTATCAGTTCAATTCCGTTCAGCCCCAAGATGCTACATGCGATTGCGAAAGCAGCTATGCCAGTTGTGATGCGGCGCTGAACCTGCATAGCGTTGCATCGGAACTCCCCATTCAATAGATCGCAACACATATTGCCGTGCCGCTGGATGGAAAATAGTACCAGCGACGGTGCAAAGGGCGCCCGAGTTGTCCCGCTGGTAGGCTCGCTTGTAGGCGTGCATTGTGAGCTTATGTCTTGGCAACATCAGACGGAATACTCGCATGAATACGGCCTAGCGTTGGGGTGTAAACAGCGCAGCTTTGGTTGAATGTGGAGATGCTTGGCGGGGCATTGATGACCAGTATATATCTAGACCAGCGCTTACAAGGAAGACGCGACCAGGCTGTCGGTGAGAGATGCGGGTACATATCCGGCCATGGGTGGCTTCGGGTAGTAGTATGTGGTGAAGCTGACTCTTGTGCCGATCGAAGCGCCTCCATTGAGCGGTATTCTTGCTGTAGAGTCATGGGGAGATGGGTGCCAGGTACACGCCTGATATCATGAACAGCTTCAAACATGGTTGATACTCTAGCGGGCAGATGCAGATGACGGCAACTGTGGAGCTAAGTATGTAGTAAGCGTCGGCCGGACCTGGTACAAACAGGAATGCAAAGAACGGACAGGTACGGAGGGCGGGAGGGTCGGAGCCGGGCGAGGCATTTTGACTGTATTGGCAAAGGCAAGATGGAAGAGTGGAGTAGCTGTCCCAACGAGGTGGAGATGGAAGGTGGCTGAGTCGAGATTGCCAGGGCGACTAAGATACTGTCGTGTGACGGTAAGTCAGGCACTACTTGGCACACAACACCACCAGAGGCGTTATCAGTCGGCCAATCCCCATAACTGAGAGCCTTTCACGGCCTTTGATTCCAATGCAGGGTAAATCTACGCAAGATGATGATCCAGAACGAAGACTACTTCATCGCCCCCAAGGGCCGCTGCTATCGCTGGTACAACAAACCCCACCATATTCCATCTACGCCGGCGACACCCATAGCGGACGGCCCTGGAACCAACGACTCTAGCCGTTTGCTACAACTACCGCGAGAGCTTCGTGATGAGATATGGGAGCTGGTCTTCAACTCGACGAGGCTGACATTTGGCCTGCAATATACACCCCGCTATGGCGAGCGGTACCTCAAGCCTGCCCCACATTCGCTCGCACTATTACGCGTATGTCGCCAGATCAATGCTGAGACACGTGACATCTGGATGCAGCGCGTGCTCTTCAACTTCGAGGATCCTCAGACCATGCTCAACAGGCTGTCGGACCTGCCAGAATCTACCGTGTCGAGAATCCGTCATGTTCGCCTCATCGGCTCCCCAATGATGCGCTATCTCAAGGGCTTTGATGATCTCATGTACCGACACGAGTCCATTTTCCAGCTACTGCCTACACTCCGGCTTGACTGCTTGACCATCTTTGCAGTTGCCGCGGCTGCACCAGAGTACGATGCCATCACCAACCTGGTCAACCGTGGCAATGGTTGGAAGGAACTTCGATACATTACTCGTAGCTCACGCATGCTTGGATTCGGTCCCTCCAGGAGCCATGGATCTCGCGAGACTGGCGACATCTGTCGTCAGCCTCAGCCGAGGTTCTGGAACAAGAGACTGTTGAACAGAGACGGCGAGAGTTCAGGCTCTATTGTCCAGGTATTCAGGGCACTAGACGAAGACGACGTCACTGCTGTTCTCGATCCGCTTAGGCGCGAGCCATTTGAGCAGAACCCAGAAGAGCACCTTGTCAAAGGGTTTGGCCGAGTGGATGACGAAGGGCTGACAAGGGGTGGTGGTGCACGAAGAGCCTTACTTGTTGTGGTGAAGCGCGGCGACAGCGTAGACGTGAGCCAAAAATCCCCAGGTTACGGCAAAGAGCGCGACATGAAAGCGAGGTTCAAAAAGAGGACCTGGCGAGTGCGAAACAAAATCATTATTTGGACATCTCCAGATAGTGAGCGAGACGACGATGAAGTGGGCAATGGATGGGCGAGACCTCAACTCCGCCGGCCCCCTTATGGCTTTGACAACTACTACGATATCGACGACATGTGAAGCGCACGAGATGAAGTGTCTTTGCTATGTGTTTTTTGGGTATTTAGGCATTATGAAGTCTGTCCACTTCCTAAGTTGAAACAGGACAGCATGACAACATGCGGTACCAAAGGATTTACGACAATAGCTAACTGCCATGACGAAACGAATGGAGTGGAACAGTTACAGCTCTGCTCAACCTCTGGACGCATTAGACAGCCGCCATGGGAGTCACGCCTGTTGAACAGGTATAAGACCCCATGTGAGTTGGCATTAAATAAGACTCGGGCCGGGGGTAGGATCACTGGATGGTCCGTATAATGCGAAATGGTCCGCGGGTAGCTTATTGGAGAGGCTTATTTTCAAAAAGGACATGAACTCTTGGTTTGGGAGTGGCGTTGATGGACATGGCGCAAAAGGGTGAGTTGTTGTTCCAAGCATGCTTGGCTAAATAGGATAACTAGCTAGTATGTTCATCATATACATGGTACAACATGTTGTTGATCGCATATTGTTATCTTACTCTCGGAAATAGCCGCGCATGATACAATCTGGCAGTGATCAGAACTCTGAATGCAATTATAACATCTCTTTAGATAAGCAGCAAGTCACTGTTGAAGCAGATACGTCCAAAATAACGGCCATGTTCCACAAGGGGCTTCTGGGTTCGGATGGCCCTTGCAGGTAAGGATAGGTCAATCATCCCACTCATCCTGTATACCGATCATGTCCTAAGCCACTATCTGCAATGTCTATATCCAGGGCAGATGACTCGGAATGGTTTTCTGTATACTGAGTTCTCAGCTGAGCTATTGATACGATCAGCGTGTTTGGGTAAATGCTGCAGCCTCATGATATGACCCACTGGCGAACCAAAGGCAGATCATCAACGCACGAACCCGATTCCGATGCTTACGCCCTTGATATGTTCCACGTGCCTGACGCCTTTAAGCGAGACCTTCCCCTACTGCATCAGTCCCGAGCTGTATGAACAAGCCACTATCACCCATTGTCTGTACTGTAGGGTTGTCTTGGACAAGACATCTAGACCACCTGATAAATCCCGCTCTTTGTTTAAGGGGCATCCTTGCGGTCGACTTTAGCACGACGATTATACGTTTGGGGATTCGGACAATCCTAGGATCTGCTAAAGTGTCCCGCAAAGC